GCCTGAGTCACACAGAGATGGTGTGGCCAAACCAGGAACAAAATTCGATGTTTCTACACACTTCCCAGAGAAAATGGCCTAATGCCACCAAATCTGCTGGGGACCTGGAGGACTCCTACTTCCATCTTGTACCACCCTAGTTGCCCAGAAAGGCAAGATGCAGGCAGAGAAAGGACCAAGTGACTCCTTCCTGCCAGGAAATTCCAAAGAGCCAATAATGCCCAAGAGGTTTCTTTTTGCAACATGGTCAGCAGCAGTCACAGGGAGAGCTCTCTGACCTCTACTGACAGGCAGGCTGATTAAACTCTGCTCTGTGAGCACTTCTTGGACTCTGTTTACACAGCACAGAACACTGAGAGGCGATGGTGTTCTTGGAGAGAAAGTGAGAACTCACTCAGGAAGTCTACAAGGCAGAGTGCAGGACAGGCGGGGTGCACAGTGTGATACACACATCTGTGCATGTGTGCATGCATGCAGAAACACGTGTTCGTGCACTCATGTATCTGTATGTGCACAGACCTTTAGATATGCACGCATTTCTGTCCCCAGCTGCCTTCAAGGCTCACCATCAGTTGTGCCATCCGCACGTCGCTAAGTGTAGTTTATTTCTCCCTTGCTGGACCCCACCCTGAGCGATGAGCCCTGAGCCCTGAGCCAGACGTCGGGCCAGAGCTGGTCCCAGGGCATCCTCGCTCATCCCCGTAGCATTTTATCTCCTCCTGTCTTCCAGGGTTCCTCCAGCTGGAAGCTGGTGAGGAAAGCCAACCTGACCCTCAGCTCCAACCTGGTAAGGCCTGGGGTTAGGGAGCAGGATGGGTGGTGAGCATGCTAAGTCCCCACCTCAAACCTAGAGCAGGCAGGCTGATGGTGGCTGGTCACAGCTGTTCCCCATTAAGCAGCCTCCTCATCCCCTGACCCATCTGCATCCCTCCCAAGCCCCTCCCCACGGCTCCCAGCATCACCTGCCCCTCTCTGTGCCCCTCAAGGCATTGGCCTGTCCTGATACCTGTTCCCGGAGGCTGAACCAGGAACCTCCTGGGAGAGTCTAAGGTTGGCAGCCCTTGGCCACTGCCCAAATCCTCTGTCTGGTTTCATTAGGGAAGTCTGCTCTTACCTCCCTGTCCCCAAGCCTCAGGGCCTCATGCTCCAGCCCCACAGACTCAGGCCCCTCACCATTTGGACATCTTGGGCCTGGCACTGACCTACGGACTGCTGTCTACACTAAGGGAACCTCTGACTGCTTTTCTGATAGAACGCAAAGAGGTCGGTGCTCTGGATCAAATAGCCCACTTCACTGGTTCATGAGCCACACTCTGTTCAGAGCCTCTCTCTCTCTTTTTTAAATTGTGGTAAATTACATTAGATCAAATCTACCATCTTAACCATTTTTAAGTGTACTGTTCACTCACATTGTTGTGGAACCATCACCACCATCCACCTCCATGACTCTTTTCATCTTGTAAAACTAAAACTTTGTATCTATTAAACAATAACTTCCCATTCATCCCTCCCTCTGGTCCCTGGTAACCACCATTTACTTTCTGTTTTTATCATTTTAGCTATTCTTAGTACCTTGTATGCAAGTGCCTTGTATTTGTCTTTGTGTGACTGGCTTATTTCATTTAACATAATGTCTTCAAGGTTCATCCATGTTGTAGCATATTGCATACTTTCCTTCCCTTTTAAGGCTGAATAATATTCCGTTGTATGGATAGACCACATTTTGCTCATCTGTTCATTCATCAGTGGACACTTGGGTTGCTTCTACCCAATAAATAGCTTGTTTAGCTATTGTGAATAATGCTGCTGTGAATATAGGTGAACAAATATATCTTCAAGACTGGGCTTTCTGTTCTTTTTAGTAATTCCAGAATCCAAGGTCATATAGTAATTCTGTTTGTTATTTTTTAAGGTATCTCCATACTGTTTTCCACAGCAGCTGTGCATAAGGGTTCCAATTTTTCCACATCCTCACCAGCATTTGTTGTTTTCTGGTTTGTTTGTTTGTTTGTTTGTTTGTTGATAGTTGCTGTCCAAATGAGTGTGAGGTGATTTCTCATTGTAATTTTGATTAGCATTTCCCTCATGATTAGTGATGTTGAATATCTTTTCATGCGTTTATTGGCCATTAATATATCTTCTTTAGAGAAATATCTGTTCAGGTCCTTTGCTCATTTTTTAATTAGCTTATTTATTTTTTGTTGTTGTTTAATTTTAGGAGTCCTGTCTATATTCTGGATATTTTTGCAAATATTTTCTTTTAGTCTGTGGGTTGCCTTTTTACTCTGTGGATGGGGTCTTATTTTATGAGAATAGAAAAAGAGTTTTTTAGGGTACGCTGCCATAGACAGCAGTGGGCCACACAGGTGAGAGGTGCCTTTATGAGCCCCGAGGCCAGTTGTTGGGGTGTTTTATAAGGTAGGGTGACAATGTGCATGATTGGCTTGTGCAGAAGTCTCTGATCAGTTGCAAGTGAGGGAGGAGGTCTAGGGTCTGTGAAGGGTGATGTGGTCTATGACTCTGATAAGGTGGACTGAAACAAGCCAGACTAAGCTATTGTGACATTAGGCATTACTTAGAGCTATTAGTTTGTTAGGGCAAACACTCCCAGTGAAGAATGTACTTTATCTGTTGAAGGATCACAGGCAGACATCTGAGACCCCAGAAATTTGGGGGAGTTTGAAGTTAGCTCAACATTCCCCACTGAGAGATTTGCAGTGACAAATCTTTGGAACAATGGCAAAGGTCTCATCTTCCGTATCTACTTCCTGCTGAATGAGGGTTGTCACACTGTCCCTACCCATCATGCCAGCCAGTCTGGGGTTATGGGGCCCCAACATCCCAGCAGCCTTAAAGGTGGGAGCAGAAGGAGACCCCAGTGGTGTCCAAGGGCTGCATCACCAGAATGTAGGTTTGGTTCATGGCGGCAATCTTGGTAAGAGGGGTGTATTTGTTCCTAAATTCACAGATTCTTTTTTTTAACTTTTTTTTTTATTGAGTTGTAGTCATTTTACAATGTTGTGTCAAATTCCAATGTAGAGCGCAATTTTTCAGTTATACATGAACATACATATATTCATTGTCATATTCTCTTTCACTGTGAGCCACCACAAGATCTTATATATATTTCCCTGTGCTATACAGTATAGCCTTGTTTAACTATTCTACATATGCCTGTCAGTATCTACAAATTTTGAACTCCCAATCTATCCCTTCCCACCCCCCTCCCCCTTGACAACCACAGGTTTGTATTCTATGTCTATGAGTCTGTTTCTGTTTTGTTTGTTTGTTTTTTTTAGATTCCACATATGAGCGATCTCATATGGTATTTTTCTTTCTCTTTCTGGCTTACTTCACTTAGACTGACATTCTCCAGGGACATCCATGTTGCTGCAAATGGCATTATGTTGTCTTTTTTATGGCTGAATAGTATTCCATTGTATAAATATACCATATCTTCTTTATCCAGTCGTCTCTTGTTGTACATTTAGTCTGTTTCCATGTCTTGGCTATTGTAAATAGTGCTGCTATGAACATTGGGGTGCAGGTGCTAAGTTCACGGATCTTAGACCTCAAAGAGAGACAATTATTTTTGTAAGATAGGAATACAACATAAAAGTAGACAGATACCAAGATAAATAGCTAAACCCAATAAAAACAGAGAACAGAAATTTGAGAATGTCTGAAAAGAAAGAACTTATCCCTTTAGGGATCCAGGAAAAGGCATTGGAGAACCAGTCAGAGACCTGTTTAGTGCTGAATTTGCTGTAAGCATTGGCATGCCTGACGTATTGGGGGTCTAAATACAGCACTCAGTACATATAACTGTGAATGGGTCCCCTTAGGTGGGATGTGAAGAGCCATGTGGTTTTGTAAGACAGCTTTCCATAATGGCCGAAATAGATTTTACCATTAATGATCTTAGTGCTTTTCTAGATGTGAGGAGAGTGGGATGAGGTCTTTTGATGTACGATTTTTTAATTTTTATGAATCCCAGTTTGTCTATTTATTCTTTTGATCTCTGTACCTTTGGGGTCATCTCCAAGAAATCAATGCCAAATCCAATGTCCCAAGATTTCATCCTATTTTTGCTTCTTAGTTTTACTGTTTTGGGTCTTACATTTAGGTCTGTGGTCCACTTTGAGTTAGTTTTGTATATGGTGTTAGGTAAGGGTCCAATTCTTTTTTTTTTTTTTTTTTTTTTGCATAGGGATATCCGGTTATCCCAGCAGCACTTGTTGAAAAGACTATCCTTTCCCATTGAATGGTCTTGGCACCCTTGTCATAAATCATTTGACTGTATACATGAGGGTTTATTTCTGGGCTCTCTATTCCATTGGTCTAATGTCTTTGTGCCAGTGCCACACTGTCTTAATTATTATAACTTTGTGGTGAGTTTTGAAATCAGGAAGTACAAGTCCTCTAGTTTTGTTCTTCTTTTTCAAGATTGTTTTGACCATTCAGGGTCCCTTGAGATTCCATGTAAATTTTAGGATAGGTTTTTCTATTTCTCAAAAAAAAAAAATAAGTCATTGAGATTTTTGTAGGAACTGCATTGAATCTATAGATCACTTTGGATAGTATTGACATTTTTAGCAGGAGTAAGCCTTCCAGTCCATAAACATGGGTTGTGTTTCATTTATTTATGTCTTTAATGTCTTTCAGCAGCATTTTGTTGTTTTCATTGTACAAGTCTTTCACCTCTTTGGCTAAGTTTCTAAGTATTTTATTCTTTTTGATACTATTGTAAATGGAATTGTTTTGGTTAATTTCCTTCTCAGATTGTTCATTGTTCATGTATAGAAATGCAACTGACTTTTGTGTGTTGACTTGGTATCCTGCCACTTTGCTGAGATCATTTATTAATTCTGACAGCTTTTTGGTGGAGTCTTTAGGGCTTTCTGCATGTACGATCCTATCACCTGCAAACAGAGAAAATTTTACGTCTTCCCTTCCTATTTGGATACCTTTTATTTCTTTTTCTTGTCTAATTGCTCTGGCTAGAGCTGCCAGTACTATCTTGAATAGAAGTGGTGAATGCAGGCATCCTTGCCTTATTCCTGATCTTAGAGGAAAAGCTTTTAGTCTTTCACCATTGAGCATGATGTTTGCTGTAGGTTCAGAACCTATATTTCTATGGAAGTATTGACTTTTTACTTATAGCTGTGCATGGCAATAACATTAATAAGCTTTAACAGAAAACATCCATCCCATAATCCTAGCTCCCCAACAAATCAAAACTGTTCAACCTGGTACCTGGTCCCTCTGTTCCTTATCACCAAACTGGCATAATTGTCACATGGCTGTGACCAGGTCTGATTGATATTTAGCCAGTAAGTCCCTTGTTAAAATACTGAAATACTCTCACACTGATTCCAGCCCCTTTTTGGGACCCCTGACTCTCCCTGCAAACCAGCAACTAAAAATTTAACACCTGACAGGGCAAGGGGTCTGTGCCAAGCACTGTTTTGATTGATCCCTAGTGCCTGGCTGTAGGAGTGTCCTTCTTAAAATTCTTCCATAGCCTTCTTCCTTTCTTCCTCTTCTCTTTTCTGTTTCCCCTTCCTTCTTGTTCTCCTTCTTCCTTTTTCCCTTCCCCAACCTCTTCAGAAAGGCACTAAAGCAACTCTTGAAAATCCATGCAAGCAGACAAGCACCCATGAAACCAGTAAGAGAAGTGAGCAAATGTGGAAGGTGTGAAAAACTCACTGGTACAGGAGGTAGGGCACAGGTCTGGCCAAGTCTGTTGGAAGCTCCACTTTTCCAACCAGCAGTGGCCTTGACAGAGCTGGGTTCTTTCAGAGCCATTTAACACTCGAGGCTGCTGGCTTTGGGCCCTGCTCCCTGCTCCTGAACTGGGAGATCCCCAGGCCCAGAGCTGCCAGCCCTCTCACTCGGGCCTGGGACCCCTCTGCAAACAAGCTGATGTTGATGCAGCCTTTGTCTGCCGCCTACCTTTGCTCAGTCCCCAAGTGTGGATATATTTGTCTGCCTGCTACCTGTTTGTGGAATGGAGCTCCCTGAAGGTGCTGGGTACCCCTTCAGCCTAGGCACCCAAACCTCACCCCTTACTCCTTCCTTCATTCTTTCCAGGCCTCAAGCGGCCTCATCAGAGCTGTGGGTCCTCACCTCGCCCAAAGCAGTGCAAGAAGCAGCAGCAAGGTGGGTACCGAAGTGGAAAGGGACCCAAACATAGGGATTGAATTTCCTTGAGCCAAGAACACAGATCCTGGACTTTGTCCCCTGCTAACAGGCTTCCAGGAGCCCAATGACTCTTGTCTTCCAGGAGGGAAGGAGTGGAGGTCCTGGGTGGGCAGAGGAAAGAGCTGGATCTGGCAAGGAAGTGCCTCTCCCCACAGGCCACGAGGGACTTCTCCAGAGGTGGCTCAGCTGAAGGGGCTCAAAGCATCCCAGCAGGTGGCAGCTTCATCAGCCAGGCTCTTCCAGGGACAGTCCCACATCCTCAGAGTTGAGGGAGCTCCAGGCATGTGACAAGCATGACCTCAGAACTGGGCTCCTTGACTAGTTTAGGGCTGAGCTAGATACCAAAGCAGAAGCCCTGGGGACCCCTAGGGAGACAGGAGCTGCTGAGGACTGGCTAAGTCAGGGAGTGTAGAGGAGACAGAAACTTCTCTCATTCTCCACCAGTTGTCCCACTAGCTGGAAACCCAACCACACTGAGCATAGCCAGAGGATTCACATCTATATAAAATAGGACACTGCCTCAGGCTCCCCAGTGGGGATCTCCAGTGTTCTGCTGCAGTGGCCCTGGGCCTTCCCTGGGGCCATCCAAGGTCTCCCAAATGACCCAGAAATGGATGCCAACACCTGGTGCTGTAGGGGCCCAGTTCCCAGAGTTCTGATTGGTCAGTGCCTGAACCCACAGGATGTTAGTGCTCACCTCTGGGCATCACAGAACTGAAATATTGGGGAGGAGTGTGGGTTACTCAGATTTCACAATAAAAGATTGTTCTGATAAGATATTGCAAAGGAAGTGCTCCCCCTCCCCTCCCCCATCTTATTGAAAACTTTGCACCACTCACCTTGTTGCAAAACCAATATAGCATGATCCACACTTACCCATTCATGCTTCCATGTGTAAATGGCTTTCAGAGCCTGTGATTCTGTAAAACCAATTCTAGGAATTTGAGTGGCACAGGAGCCCCTATGTGCTTTTGCTACCCTCCCCCATACATGCATAGCTGCAGCTACAGGCTCCCAATAACCTGATACTGGGGTGAGAGGAACTGGGGGGCAGGGAGGCCTCTGGCCCTGATGCCATTTTCCTGCCCCCTGCAGAGTTGGCCAAGAAGTACTTGCAGCTGCTGAGGACTTCCACCCAGCAGCGCTATGGCAGCAAGACTCCGGGGCCAGGGCAGCCACTTGCCTTCCACCAAGCCTACGTCCCTCCAATCTTGCAATGGAGCCGGACCTCAGCGCCCTTTGACACTCAGGAGGGGGCTGTTATGGGGCACCCCAAGGCAGAAGATGGCACCAACGTGAGCATTCGGGACCTCTTCAATACCAAGGCCGACAAGGGCCCAAGAGTGACGGTGCTTCTGGGGAAGGCGGGTATGGGCAAGACCACACTGGTGCACCAGCTCTGCCAGATGTGGGCTGATGGTCAGCTGGACCGCTACCAGGCCTTGTTCCTTTTCGAATTCCGCCAGCTCAACCTCATCACAGACTTTTTGACGCTGCCCCAGCTCCTATTTGACCTGTACCTGAGACCCGAGGCGGGCCCCGAGGCTGTCTTCCAGTACCTGCAGGAGAATGCTAACGGAGTCCTGCTGATCTTTGATGGGCTGGACGAGGTCCTTGACTCCTGCTCCAGCAAGGAGACTGCCGATCCTGAGGCCCCAGTTTCAGCCCTCACCCTCTTCTCCCGCCTCTGCCGTGGGACCCTCCTGCCTGGCTGCTGGGTAATGGCCACCTCACGTCCAGGGAAGCTGCCTGCCTGCCTGCCCACAGAGGTGGTCACGGTCCACATGTGGGGCTTTGACACACGACGGGTGGAGGAGTACGTGAGGCACTTCTTCAGTGACCAGCTGTCCCAGGAGGCGGCCTTAGCAGAGTTGCGGGCAAACAGACGTCTCTGGAGCACGTGTGCGGTGCCTGCACTGTGCCGAGTCACCTGCCTCTGCCTCTATCGTCTGCTCCCAAGCAGCTCTCCAGGCCAGTCTGCAGCCCTCCTGCCCACCGTGACTCAGAACTACATGCAGATGGTGCTCACCCTTAGCCCTCAAGGGGTCCTGCATGTGGAGTACCTGCTGGGCCTCGGGGAGGTGGCCCTGAGGGGCCTAGAGACCAGGAAGATTATCTTCTCTGCAGGAGACATCCCTCCACCCATGATGGCTTTCGGGGCTGCCCTCGGCCTGCTGAACTCATTCTGTGTGTGCACAGGCCCCGGGCACCAGGAGACGGGCTATGCCTTCAACCACCTCAGCCTGCAGGAATTTTTTGCTGCCCTGTACTTGATGGCCAGCCCCAAGGTGGACAAAGATTCAGTCACCCAGCATGTCACTCTCAGTTCTCGCTGGGTGCTGCGGACCAGCGCTAAACAGGACCTCTTAGATCACCTTCTCACCTTTCTGGCTGGTCTGGCGTCCTGTGCCTGCCGTCCCTTCCTTGGCCTCCTGGCGCAGCGGGACGAGGCGTGGGTGGGTACCAAGCAGGCAGCAGTTGTGCAGGCACTGAGGAAGTTGGCCACCCGCAGGCTCACAGGGCCAAAAGTTGTAGAGCTGTGTCACTGTGTGGGTGAGACGCAGGAGCCTGAGCTGGCCAGCCTCACAGCCCAAAGCCTCCCCCATCAGCTGCCCTTCCACAACTTCCTGCTGACCTACGCCGACCTGGCTGCCCTGACCAACATTCTAGGGCACAGGCATGCTCCTATCCACCTGGAGTTTGAGGGCTGCCCCCTGGAGCCCCGCTGCCCTGAAGCCCTGGCATGCTGTGGGCAGATAGAGAATCTCAGGTGAGAGTAAAGTCAGGGGCACAGGGGAGGACCTGAGGAGATCCCTGGGAGAGATCTGGACTTTTGGGAGAGTGGAAGCCAGGCAGTCTGGAGACTCCTGCTGAGGGAGACTGAGTAAGAACCTCAAATATTAGAACAAGTAGGCCCCCACTGCACCTTAACCTGTGACACAGTGAGGAAGCTCTGTACCTGGCCAGTAACTCTGGAGTCCAGTTAGATCCCATATTTTCATGGTTCCTAGACTCTTTCTCTCTCTCTTTCTCTCAGTCTTGGGCTGGAGCATCTGGTCCAGGCTGTGCTGCTAGAGCCTGTTTGGGAGGTGAGAATTCTACCAGTGAACCAGCAATGCTGCTAGAGCCTGTTTGAATTAGACAAGTTATTTAACCTCCTCTCAGCCTGAGTTTCTTCATCCCTAAAATGAATCAGTAATACCTACTTCAAAGGGTTGTTGTGAGAATGAGATGAAATAATGCATGAAAAACACTTCTTAGCATAGTTCTTGGCACACAGTAAAAGCTCAGCATGTGTAGTAGCTAGAGAAAAAGGTTAAGCTGCAGTAACAAAGAATCCCACCCCCCTCTAAATACAGTAGATTGAATAATATAGAATTCTATTTCACTCTTATGGAAGACTCAGAGGTAAGTGGTCCAGGTCAGTGGAATAGCTCAGCTCCACATGATCATTCAGGGACCCAGGTCCCTTCCACCATTGCTACATCATCTCCTTGGGCATCTTGATCTGCATGGTCAAATCTAGGACATGGAAATATATGTGCTCTGGCTTGGGGGAAGGGAAAGAGAGAGCATGAATCAGACGTGCCCAGTGTGTTAAAGCCCAGCCCTGGAAATAGAATTCCAGTGATGAGAATATAGTCATATGGTCACACTGAGCTGTAGGGGAGGCTGGAAAACCACCTCTGGCTGGGAAACCGTGCTCCCAGTTATAGCTACAGTTGAGAAAGGGTTATGGTGGTCAATTAGTGTCTGCCATAATGTGTATTTGTTACTACTGTAACAATTACGACTGCTATTGCTGTTACTGTATTAAGTTCCATCTGTTGGAGGAGGGGATGACCACTAAACCCTGCCTACAATTGATCTTCTGCCACTTTACGTCTTCCTGTGGCAGCTTTAAGAGCAGGAAGTGTGGGGACGCCTTTGCTGAAGCCCTCTCCAGGAGCTTGCCAACAATGGAGAACCTGAAGAAGCTGGGGTGAGCCAAGGATTGAAACCAACACAAATCCTCAGCTGGGGATGCCTGGAACTCTCCTCCCTCCCCTCAACCCTACACAGGGCAGATTCCTGGTCTACCCATCCCCATTCCCCTTTCCTCCTCACCATCTTTACTTACACTGTAGGTTAGCAGGAAGCAAGATCACTGCCCGAGGGATCAGCCACCTGGTGCAGACTTTGCCCCTCTGTCCACAGCTGGAAGAGGTCAGGTGAGTGATCACCAGGAGGGATCACTGACTGAGGGGAGGATTCACTGCCCAGGTCACAGACCTCAGGACTGGGTCCTGTATATTCCATCAAGTTCTGGCCAGTACTTTTTCAGTGAGACCCAGAGAGGGGAAGCATCAGTCTGAGAACTGAGAACAAGACTCCTAGAGACCTCAGAGAAGTGCTAACATTTTGGGCCATCTTGAAGGAGCTTGAGTTTTGAGGGTCCTCCTCCTCCTTCTGTGACCCTGAGAGAAGGGATGGCAGTGTGTAGGCAGGTACCAGGTGGGTACACATAAATGCATGAAACACACACATACCTTCACATTCATGCACACATACTCGCATGTGCCTACTCACTTAAGTATATGCCCCCACATACATGCCCTTGCATGCACACTTAGATCTACATCCACGTCTAAACACATATGCACAAATATACTCCTGCCCTGGGTCTGTGATCAGTGGCCTGAGAAGGGTGTGGCCAGGGATCCTCCTCAGCAGCTTCCTGGCAGGACTACTGCTACTTTGTATGGCACCTTTATGAGATTTAGAAAAGACACCCTTCCATCCAGGCAGATGCATCCAAGCAGATTCAGCCTAGCACAGTGTGCACTGCTTCTTGAGTGGTGCAGTAGCTGGACCAGAGCTCTGCTCTGTCCCCTCTGCTGTTCATGATCACTCTGGGTGATGGGAGAGAAGATAAAGGTCATTCTCAATAATCAAAGAAAAATAAATGTCAGTCAGTTTTGACATTTCTAAACCTTTGTCCTGAGCAAGTGATCCCATGCAAGCACTCTCACACTCTTCAGCTCTTCTCTCCCTCCAGCTAGGAACCCAGGCAGGGCTGGTGTGGACCCCATTTGACAGGTGGGGAATGTGAAGTCAGAAAAGAAAGTGCTTGGCCTAGGGCTCTGGGTGAATCAGGGCCAGAGAGGAGGCTGGAAGAAGCTTCTCCTGCGTCCCAGTCTGCTCATCACCTGGGAGCCAAAAGGCCCTGAGGAACTCAGGCCACTTGTACATCCCAGACTGAGTCCAGAGAGCAGGGCACTGGGGCCCTTCATCCCACCTCATGAGGCCTTCACAGTTTATCATGTGGATCCCTTGAGTCACCAGGCAGAAACTCCCCCAAAGGGACCAAACAGGGACAGAAGTGAGACCAGCAGAGGGCCTTTCCTCCTAGCTGGGCCTGCTGGATACCATGATGTTGTTGTGAGTCCCTGTCTTGTGTCTCCTGCATGAGGGTGGCCATGCCTGTCACCTGCCAACTGGGGCTCCCAAGTCTCCCAACCCCACTGCTGAGGGACTGGGCCTTGATTTTCCTGTAGCTTTCAAGACAACCAGCTCAAGGACAGGGAGGTGCTGAGCATCATAGAGATACTTCCTTACCTGCCTCGGCTCCGGAAGCTTGAGTAAGCAGTCTTCCCATTGTCTCTGCCTGAGTCACCCTCCTCCCTTGAAAAGCAATGAAAGTCTGGGGTGGATGGGATGGGGGATTTACTCCTGACACCTTTGCCACAAATCATGCAGCCTGAGCCGCAACAATATCTCCGTGTCAGCCCTGCTCTCCTTGACAAAGGTGGCAGTCACATGCCCTACCATCAGGATGCTACAGGTCAGGTAAGCAAAAGGGGTGGGATCCTGGCCTTCAGAGTCTTGGGAAAGGGAATGAGAATATGGAGGATGAGAAAAAGAGGAAGCCACTAGTCTGTAAGGCCTACTTGTGCTTTCCTGAGTCTGTTTTATTCACATCTGTATCTCCAGAGCCTCCCTCTGGCCTGGCACCTCATACTCAATAAATAGTGAATGAATGGAAAAATAGATGGATAGTCGGATGAGTGGATAAGGGAATGAATGAACCTATCTAGGAAGAATAGGCAGAGCAGAAGGAATCCTGAGTCACGTGTCGCTCTCCGTGGTGCTGAACTAGCGTTGCCTGTTTAGATCATAGGGTAGGTTAAGTTCCATGCCTCTAATCCTAAAACACTGTGTCTCCTATAAAAACTCTTGGCATTCCTAATTTTCTTATCTTTCTTGTAAAATATGTCTTCCTGATTTTTTTAAACACTCAGGATTCATCAAGCAACAACATAGTCACAATTTTCATGCCTCATTTCAAGCGTTTTTGTCAGTTCTCTTGTTTCTCTGTCAATTGCAGAATCAACTTTTCTGGATATTTGGGGCAGCAAGGGGTACGCGGGGAGGGGGTGATGTATGGGTTTCATGGCTCGGTGTCTGACCCTACAGGGAGGCGGACCTCATCTTCTTTCTTGTCCCACCTGCAGAGGCGGCTGCGGAGCTACAAAGGTAAGAACTGAGGGAGCGGGTAGGTCTGGGCTCATCCTGAGAAGCAATCTGAGTTCAGCAGTTGTGGGGAAAAGTGGCCAAAAGAACTAAGAAGAGCTGGAATGTGGGAACTCTTCTTGCTACTGCTGCCCTGAGAAATGACTTACTTCTCGGAGTTGGCCAAGGACTTAGCTTCCCCTAGTGTCTCTGGACCACATCCAATTCCTGTGGTTAGGGAGCATCCCCAGAGATCTCAGGGTGAATCAGACCCTTAGGGAGGGCATGAAGATATGGTGAGATTGGCATTATCATGTAGAGAAAACTCTTCCAAATTAAAAAAGGGAGGAGGCAATTATGGTACCAACATCTTAGAGCTGTTCTGAGAATTAAATGAATTAATATATTGAGAGTGCTTAGAACACTGCTGGCATCCGGTTGGCACTCAAATGCTGGATATTCCAGCTGTGCACGGATTCCAGCTTGGCCAGTCCTGGCTGGGCAGAAAAAAAGGGAAGTTGCCTTCCCATTAAAGAACTTCCTAACTGTGTTCCCCTCACACCCCTCCCTGGCTGAGACTCAGAGTCAAATGAAGTTGTATGTCCTTGTGCAAGTCCTTTCCCTGCTCTGAGCCTCAATTTCCTCACCCATACAAGGATTTGGAGGACCAGAGTCTTTACTCTCTGTTTGTCTAGAGCTGTGATGCCCAATACATTTCTACTAGCCACATGCAGCTATTTAATTTTATATTAATTAAAATTAAGTCAAATGAACATTTCAGTCATTTTAGCCATATTCCAAGTGCTCAGTGGCCCTGGGTGGCTAATGGCTCCCATCGTGGATGAAACAGATAGAAAACATTTCCATAATCATAGGAAGTTCTTTTGGACAGCACCGATACAGAAGTCTGTGAAAACCCACCAAGTCCCAGCATCCCTGCAGCCCCCAGTCCTCCCCTGGCTCAGCTGGGGAGAGCCTGGGGGTGCTGTGGCTTCCCCATAGCCTGCACCCACATACAGCCCATGCTCCTGGCCTTCTGAACTCTACAAATGGAGTCTAGTACATCTTAGATAATAGCAGGTTCTTTTTCCTAAGATTCAATTTTGTGCCTATGGCGGGCACTTGACCATGTATCATCTCATTCTGTCCTTCAATCACTCTATGTGTTAGATATCATCCCACTTTCGAAAAGAGAAAATGGAAGCTCCAGTGGGTGAAGTGACTTGCCCAAGGCCACGCAGCTATATACGGCAGAACCAGAACTTGAATAAAGGCCCCAAGTGACCTCAAACCTTTTGTTCCTGCTGCTTTGCTGAACAGCACCTTCAGTACCTTCAAACAACAGTCTTTGTTACTCACTTACTGTGGGTCGTGCTACAGGGTCTTCAGCCCCTAGAAATCAAGGGAAGAGGTTTGGTCCATCAGGCCCTGGACTCCTGAGCCTAGGCCAGTGTGTGATTTGTTCTTGCCAGAGACCCAGACCTGCAGGAAAATGCCAACCAGAGGAAAGAGGCTCAGAGGAGAAGCCTGGCACTCAGGTACTTCAGTGGGATCCATTGCCTTGAGGGGAGGGATAGGATATCGGGGTAGGGTCCCCTTTCCAAAGGTGGCATAGCAGGGGCAGGGAAAGGACATGAATAACCCATCCTGGCCCTGAATAAGGAGCATTTGTCATAACAACAAAAATAACAGCTATAATTTAACAGACCCTTGCTATGTACTGGCCACTATGGTATTTTATATCCATTACTTCATTGTAATCTTTTGAAAACCCTGCGAAGAACACATTATTAGTCCTATTTATTAAAGGAGGAAACTGAGTTTCAGATAGGTTAGATGCCTTGTCCAGGGTCACCCAGCTGATAAGAAACAGGGTCAAGGTTAGACCCAGGTCTGCTGGCTTCCTGTCTCCCCAGCTCCTGACAGCCGCAGTCAGAGCTAGAGGAAGCACAGTGTAGCTTCTTGCCTTGGGTCTCTCTGCTCCCACCCCTCCTGCAGGCTCCAGAAGTATCAGCTCAGGGTCCATGACGTGGAGATGCTCATAGCCCAGCTCCGGGAAGGTCCATACCTGGATGAAGTGGAGTGAGTATCATGGGACAGGAGTATCCCAGTGTCACTGGGACAGGAGGCAGAAGGGAGGGCAGCATAGGAACAGGCCCAGCTTTATATGGTGGATGGTGTGGGGAAGGGCATGCTGCTTCATTAAGAATTTGAGGGAAGCAGATCATCATAACAGCTGCCACCATTAGCACCTGTCCTGTACCATGTGCTTTTACATATATCCTCATTTAATTTTCACATCTATGCAATGTAAGTACTGTTACTATGCACATTTTTTAATGCACAATTTATAGGGGAGGAAATTAAGCCATAGAAAGGTAAACCTGCTCAAGGTCACACAGCTAGGAAGAGTCCAGGCCAGAGTCCAGGCCAGGGTTCAGGCCCAGAAAGTCTGGCTCCTAGCCTGATCCTCATTGTGATCTGCAAAGCAGAAACCTCACCACACCTAGGACTGTCTTCCAAACCACAGCCCTCAGGGACCCCTCACCCAGCCTTCCTCCCAGACTAGCACGAGGTGACCTCTTTTTAAGCTGGAGAAATTCCCATGATGTCCAGCTCCTGGGCAGAGCCTTTGAGAGCGGGGCTTGGGGATTGGTGGAAGTCCTGTTACATCGTTAGAAACGGACCCCTGCCAGGACTATTCCAGTAAATCAAATGGGCATGAAAGTGGGGTGATGGAATATGATCATGTATTTTGAGGTGAGTCACCCCACCCTAGGGCAAGATGGACAGAGTGAGGGCTGTCTTGGTGCCCAAGGCTTGAGCCTTGACCTTGTCCCATTGGGAGAACCAAGGCTGGGTTAGAAGGTGGTTTTTTTTACCAAACTCACATACTTTCACCCACCTTGTCACCACAAAGCCTGTCCCTCCTCACAGTGTTCTCACCCGCAGTAAGGCCCCATCACCCACCTCATTACACAGACCAGACACCTCTCAGCCCCCTTGCCCTCCCCAATAGCCAGTCCATCCTGAGTCGACCTACCCCATTCTCAAAGCCATTCTCTTTGCTCCATCCTCTTTTCATCCACCTCCTTAGTCCAAACTTCTCGCATCTTTCACTTGGATGACCCTGTCAGCCTCCTCACTGGGTTCCCTGCTTCCACCCTGGCCACTTCCACCCGGCAGAGTGCAAACTGCATGTTACTGCTGCCTGCCCCCTTCGCTCCTTCCCACTGCTCAGGATAAAGCCCAAATCCTAAAGTCCTGTGTGATCCAGAACCCTGCTCTCAAACCCACAAGCCCCTTCTGACCCCACCCTCACAATCACTTTTCAATCTAGACATGCTGGCTTCTTTTCAGGTCCTCAAATGTGCTATGCCCCAGGGCCTTTGTGCTGTTCCTACTACAAGGAACACCCTTCCCCCATCTCTCTCCCATCTTGTACCTATTGAACTCCTAGTTTTTTTAGCAAGTAACTCAAATATCATAGAAGCCTTCCCTGGTCTCCAGACTAGATCAGATGCCCCTGTAAGCATGGAGCTCATCACAAGAAGCAATTATGTAGGTTGTAGCATAAGTAAACTGACTGTACTTCAATAAAAATATGTTTAAAAAAAAAGAAAAAGAAACAGTTGAGGATGGGGCCTTGAAGTCAGGCTGGCTGAGTTTAAATTCCAGGTCCAACTTTGAGCAAGTGTTTTAACCACTCTGTACCTTGGCTTACTTATCAGTAAAATGAGGATAATAATAGTGCCTACTTCATAGAATTGTTATGAGGATTCAATATCCAATAATTGTAAAAGCACCCAGGACAGTGCCAGGCATGTAGTACCTAATCTCTCAACGTTTGTTATAATTAAGCTTCATTTCTTGGCGTGATGCTTTGACTAAAGTCAATGAGGGACTGTGTGAATGCTGGGGGTTGAGAAGGAACCCCACCCTAGCAACACAGGACATCACACCCCTCTATCTCAGTCTCTCAGGGAACCAGCTGGAAGATGAAGGCTGTCAACTGATGGCGGAGGCTGCATCCCAGCTGCACATCACCAGGAAGCTGGAGTGAGTTGCCCACCCAACTGCTGGGTACCAGGGAGGGCCCAGGAGAACCATAGTTCTGGCTCATAGTCACCAGAAGTAGTGCTGTTCCACTGACCACCCTTAATTTTCTCCCAACTCCAGCTGGAGTGGTTATAACCATTACCTTTGGCATGAGCCACTTAGTTCCAGTTATTAAAACCCCTTGCACACCTAGAACGTGTTCTCCAGACATCAGTAACTTGTGTTCCAGTTTGTCCTGATAACAACCCCAGGGTGGGGCGGGGCGCAGTGTTGCATTAGGGTATTGGGTGGATGGGTGCTGGGGTGTTTGGTTGGGATGTTGGAGTGGGAAGTGGCATGTTAGGGTAGGGACATGGTTTTGGGGCGAAGGAGTGGGTTGTTGGGGTGGTGGGATGGAAAGAAAGTGTGGCTGTTAGGTGTGCTGTGGTCTTACATGGTGTGCTGGAGTTTGGGTGGGATGTGTTGGGGTCTTAGCATCAAATGTGAGTTGGGGTGAGGGAGTGTGGAGATTGTGTAAATAGTGGTTTAGAGCCTTGGCTTTGGATTTAAATCCTGGCTCTGTCAACTGAGTAGTTTTGTGACCCTGGGAAAGTAACTCAATGTCTTTTGGTCTCAGCTTACCCATTGGTAAAATGGGATTAAAAATGGTGGTTATTTTATCATCAGTCCGGAAAGCTGAGGATCAGAGAGGCAAAAATAGTGAGTCAGTTCTCACTGCTCCAGCTGGAGAGCTTTAGTCACCGTGTGGGACAGGGAGTCATATGCCTCTTGGCTCATACACGTGGGTCAGAATCCTTTGAAATCCCCTGATTAAGGATCCAGGACATTCCAGGAGTGACAGCCAGCCAGCTGCTGAGGCCAGGAGGAGAGGGCTGGAGCTGTCTGGGGCTGAGGACTTCAGCCACCTGCTGATGGTGACCTCTCACCTCCTCTCCATAGCCTCAGCGACAACGGGCTTTCTGCAGCAGGGGTGCACCGTGTGCTCAGTGCAGTGAGCACGTGCCGGACCCTGGCAGAGCTACACATCAGGTAGGAACTCCCAGTGGACCACCATCACCCACTCCCACTTCCAGCTGGAGCTCCTGGCTCTCCTATCATTCTCTCCGAACCCTTGGAATTCTTTCTGGCCCCAGGTCTTTGGGACCTGTAGCGGATGCCTTTAGTGCCCTCCCAGGCCCCTTTGGCACCAGGTGCACCTGTTCCAGATGCTGCAGGTATTGGCTGCTCACAGCTTATACCTCCTCTGAAGAAATGCCCTGGACTGATAAGTGATGCCTGGGAGGTTACACCTCTCCTGATTGCCCCCCATCCAGGTGGGGCCACTAACATAGGCAGAGGTATAACTCTCTGACCCTCTTGCCTCAGGTGGGACAAACTTGTGGTGCTAGTCATGCTCCAGGGAGCCCTGTGGGATCAGGCTGAGGACCTGGTCTGTTCTGCTTCCCTCAGTCCCTTACTGGTTACTCCAGAGAGCAGGCCCTCGGTACATCATGTACACAAGTGACCAAGTGACTCTTTCTAAGGGAACCCGACCTAAGAAAGGGTCCAACCTTATTTCCGTAAGTCTGGGGAGCTGAGGAAAGGTGTTAATTAATGTTGACCCAGTCCCCACCCATAGGGGCTCTCAACTGAATAGGGTTTTAAACACCCCTCAAAGGGGGAAAGGGAGACCTTTATAATGATTCACTAAATGTCCCTAGGGCATTCCAAATGACACTCCATTCACTTCTAGGAATTTATGTAAAGGAGTTATCTTTAGTGATTGTGCAGACACGTTCAGCTGTGGTATTGGTTATGATAGGAAAAATGAAAATAACGTAAATGTTTAACAATAGGATATTAGACATATTAAACTAATTTAACTACCAGAGAGAAGAACTTGATGGAACTATGATACAGCTTCAGCTTTAGTGTGGAGGGATGACTGTGGCATATTAAGTAAACATAAAAATTTTAATTCATCATTTTTATAATAAAACTTTTCAATCATACTCAAAGGTAGGGAGAATGGTACAATGAACTCCCCAATTCCCACCAATAATTAACAACCATTCTGTAACCCTTGTTTCATCTGTCCTTTGCAATATCAATTTTTAAAAGGGAAACTGTAATTGTAATCCCATTTTTTAAGAAAGAAAAAGAAAGAATATTAACTGCATTAAGAAAACAAAAGACTTGAAAGACCCACTCCGAATGTTATCAGTGGTAATGGATATGTGGAAGAGATTGTGGGTGATTTTTCTTTATTTTCTTCTTACTTTACTATATTTTCTAAGTTCTCCACAAGGAAGAAGTATGACTTTTGTAATGGGGACTATATAACTTTTGATTTGAAAGGCAATGTTAGGATGCTCCAGCTGCCAGTTACAGCCTCATGTGGACTCTCATTGCCTTCCTGCCCTGGCAGTGACCTCACCAGCCTGGGATGAGCACCCTCAGCTGAGGGTACCCCTGGTACACGACAAACAGGAAGGAGAGAAGAGGGTTTCAGCCTGAGGCAAACCAGGGAGAAGGCAGAACTGATATTTTCTTTCAAAGACTTTCCAGGAAATGAGGGCTGATATGTGTGTGAAATTTCTGCTGTAGAAAGACTTCAGGCCCCCAGGAAGCTCAGAGGAAGTTGGGGCAAAGTCAGAGGAAGTGCTATAGCTAGAGGCAGGGGGATGGCACCTTGGAGGTCCCTGGAGGCCAAGCTAAAAAATGACACAGAGCAGCAAGGACCCCTATAAGCCTCCTCCCTCCTCCTTCTCTCTGCAGCCTGCTGCACAAAACTGTGGTCCTCACATTTGCCCCAGAGCCGGAGAAGCAGGAGGCGATCCGGGAGAGGTAGGACCCCATTGCCATCCCAGCCCATCCCTTGGCCAGAACCATCCCCTCTTTGACCTCCACAGCTGGACAGTCCAACACAACTGCTGGGGAACCTTGACAAGTTCACGAAGGCACGGGAAGCCAGCAGCCTTGGCTGGGGATGCAGCCCTAAAAGGAAGTGTCAAAGGACAGATCGCCTCCCTGTTTCCCAAGCATTCCCTGAAGAGAACCCTGGGATGCCCGGTGCAGGCAGCACACAGGGTCAAGGGTGGGGTAGCAGAGAGCTATGTGAGGGAGACTGGGGCCCTTCAGCCTAAACCCAGAGGATCACCTGGCTTGTAGCTCTAATTTTGGCCAGAACTTCTGGCTCCCTTTTGCACAGGACCCCTTTAGAGAGTACCTCCAGGATTCCTTCCTGGATTGCCTCAGCGTAGCGCATGGGCAGAGACTCTGCTCTTTCCTCCTCAGTGTTTACCTATAATCTCTTCTGTAGGGTCTGAGCTTTTAAAGGCTTGCTTGGAACTGAGGCTGACATCTGTGAGGGCACTGGTGATGATGATATTAATGATACTAACAGCCAAGTTTAATTGAGAATTTACTGGGCAATGAGCAGCCAACTAAGGCAATTCACGTATGTTCTCCCAGTAAGAGGCTAAGTGATTTGTCTCAGGTCATACAGCCAGGAATTAGTTCTCTTCCCAGGGCCCAGTTGGAGCCAAGGTCTGACTGTCCCCAGGCCTCATATAGAGATTAAATGGTGGGAAGGATGGCTGAAGATGGAGTTTGAGCCAGTAGAGAGGTGTTTGCTCAGCCTGGCCTTGGTGTGTGTCCCTCCAGGGCTGCATTTCCTGACAGTATTATGCTCCAGATGCCCCCCGAGCCACCCCTGCGCTCCCCAAGGATCAGGTACAATGATGGCCTGCGGGCCCCAGCTGTGGTTCCAGCCTCCTCCCTTCCTGGGCACACAGCCTGTCCCCGGGCCCCCAGCCCCAGATACTCCCCAGAGGATATAAGCTGCTATTTCCAGGAGTCATGGCCTGGTTTTCCCACCTCCCATCTTCCCTGCCCAGCCCTCCCTTAGGGGGCTCACAATGCAGCTCCCTAGTCACCTTCCATGCCCAGAGTCCCCACTCCCCTTAGCTGGGATTGTAGCTGAGGGATTGTGGGAACTCTGGATGGAGAGAATGGGGAAGAACTCGCCCCCTTCCTTCCTGATCCTGAAGCTTAGGCCTGGGGGCTCAACTCAGCCCCTGCAGGACTCCCATCACAACTCTTCCAGCCTTCTCTCTGATTCTGTGTCCATCTGAATCCCCCTCCCTGTCTGTCTGTCCTCTTTGGGCACTGTCTCTCAGTCTCTCTCAGTCTCTGTCTCTGTGTCTGTCACCTTCTCTCTCTCTCTCATCTTTGTGTTTCTCCATCTTGGTCTCTCTCTCTCTGCATCTCTGACCCTCTCTGGCTCTTCTCTTCCTGTGTGACATTTTATGCCTGCAGTGTGTGTTGGTCCCTCTTTTTCTGTCTGGATGCGAGATGCATCCCAGTGCCCCTTCCCCAAGTCTCTTCGCCTGTGTGTCTAGGGGTGGTGGCCACTCCCCCACCCCCATCAGCGGGGCAGGCACTGCAGGGCTGTGGTTCTGCCTTCTGCAGGCTGACACACTGTGGTTTGCAAACCCAGCACCTAGAGCAGCTCTGCAAGGCCCTGAGAGGAAGCTGCCTCCTCGGTCACATCGAGTGAGTGGGTTGTGGTTGGAAGATGGGTGGGTGGGGCCAATCAGTTGGTAGATGTTAGTGTATTACATTTTGTTTTGTTTTTTTAAGATTTAAATCATCAGTTCTTTCCCTGCTGCAATCAGGAGCCCCTTAGAGAACCCAGGGAAAGTTGTGACTCTTCCCCCTAAAATACACATCCCCCACATTTGACACCCTCTGAAACCCAACCCTGACCCCTCAGGGGTCACAAACCTTAGGGTAAGAACCCTAGAGGAGACCTCAGCTGACCCAGTGCCATGTGCTGAGATCAGCCTGGCAGCCCAAGGCCAAAGTGTCCGTTTCAGGAGGAAATGGGTGGCTGAGTGACAGAGGCAAACTCCTGCCCATCTCCACCCCGACCCTCTGCTAATCTGTTCCCCCCATCCCTCCCAGTTTATCAGGCAATGCTCTGGGGGACGAAGGTGTGGCCCTGCTGGCTCAGCTGCTCCCAGGGCTGGGCGCTCTGCAGTCCTTGAAGTGAGTAGCCATCTGGGCAAAGCCTCTGAGCTTTGTCCTCATCAGAATGAGGGGATGCATGTGAAAAGAGGGTGGTGGAGAAGGGGTGAGGGGAGTGTTCTATGTCCTATCTCACTCCCTCCTGGGGTTATCATAAAGATTAAGTCAGAAAAATGCATGTCTGCCACCCAGTCCAGTCCCTGACACATGGCAAGTGCTCAGGACAGGGTCAGTACTACTGTGATTTTCATTAAAATACAGACTGGGCTGTGACTCACTGACCCAGCTTCTGATTTAAGCTTTCGCTTCTCAAACCTGTCTCCCTGTCTCTGCACAGGCTCTCTGGGAGGCCCAGGCCACCTGGGGCAGCGCAGGCACGGGTGGAAGGGATGACCTGTTTAACATAATGGCTGGCAGCCGTTCTGACCCTGGGGTGTAGGGAGGGGCTGTTTGATGGTGCACTGGCCAGGTAGGCAGGGAGGGTTTGGACCAGAGAAGACCCTTAAGCAGGGTGCCCAGGGACAGCTAAAGAGCCCTGAGCACCAGTGGGGAGTGGGGAGATATTCAGTATAGGGAGGGAAGGCCTGGAAGGCCAGGAACCCCCCAACTTTACCTGTAGCCATCCAGAGTTCCTGGGCCCTTGAAGTCCCCTGTGTTCCTGGCTCACGTTCCCCCTTCTTTTCCCTAACTCTTCTGGGCCCAAGTGAGAGGCTCCCTGGTCACGGGAACCTGGTCACAAGTCCTAGGTTCCCAGTGTGACCTTAGGCAAATTGCAACACCTCTCTGAGCTCCTGGTCCCCAACCAGTTAACACACAAACTCTAGAGGGTGTGGCTGTGGTTTTGGCTAAGGGGAACCACTGAGTTCTAATCTCAGCTCTGTCACCAAGATGTCTCATAATCTTGGGCAAGAACTTGCTGCTCTCTGGGCATCAGTTTGCCCATCTGTACAATGGGGAGTTGGTAGAGGCACTCTCTGACCATCCGGGATTCAGCATGTTCCATTGGCTGGAACAGAGAGGGACAGCCCTCTCCCACCCTGTGCTCTGACCACAAAGAGGATGTTTGTGAGTCCTGAGTGACCTCCGTCAGTGTCATCCCTCTGGTTCTCCAGCCTCAGTGAGAATGGTTTGTCCCCGGATGCTGTATTCAGTTTGACCCTGTGCTTCTCTACTCTGCAGTGGGTTCTGCACATGGACTTCAGGTGAGAATGCCCCTGGGTCCCTGCCCTGCCCTGCATCTGTCCCCTTCACGATGTAGCATCCTCAGGGCCCTGTTGTGACACCGAGTCCAACAAACATGTGATGTGTGTCTGTGGAATGAATGAATAGATGAATGAGTGAAATATAGCTCCAGGGATACTCATATTTCTCCAAATTCATCACAGGACAAGATTCATCGACTCTCCGGTACTTACTCTCTGGATTGTCCTGGTAGACTTTTAAGAAAACTAGGAGCTCCATGATGGCCATTGAGTGTTCAGGGACCCACCTGAATTGTGGGGTCTTTGGAGCTGATGAAAATGTAGACCGGAAGGCTCCCAAGCCACCCTGGGGCCATGTAATGCAAATCATCCATTGTTTCAGGTGAAGTCAGCCCATTCCTCCCCTCCCACTTCCAAGAGTGGGTAATATGGCAACAGACAGCCCAGGTTCAAATTCAGGCTCACCATTTACCTGCTGTGTGGCTCTGAGCAGGTCACTGAGCCTCTCCATACCTCAGTTTCCTCATCCATAAAATGGGGATAAGAACACTTCCTTACCTCACGATTTTGTTGTGAGAATCAAAGGAGACCATATCAGTGGTATATTTTGTATGTGCCTTAAGAAATGTTTGGTTGCTTAATATATTTATTGTCCTATCTGCTGAGAAGATGGGCCATCATCCAAGCCTTCCCTGACCCAGCCTGTCTGGTCTCTTGCTGCTGCCTGGGACTTTGGCCCTTTCTCAGACTGCTGCCTCCTCTCTGCCTGCAGCTTTGAGAGCCAACGTGTCATCCTGAGAGGTGACAGAAGAGGCAGGTAAGGAGGGAAATCCCCTCAGATGGAGGGGGGGCTCCCCCTTTCCCTCTCTGGTCCCCATTTCCTGTAGGTACCTCAACCCCCAGACCCACGCTGACCACTGTTAGCCCTAGAGTAACCCACCTAGGTCTGGCATGCTGGAATTCCTCTCTTCTATAACCCCCTCCTTCATACAAATTTGCAATAATCAGCTGCCTTAAATCTTAGAAGAAGGCAGTGCACACGGGAGGGAGCATGGGCGGGGCCCATGGGTGGTGCTACAGCAGAACAGGTGCTAGCAGATGGAGGGTGGAGGGGAGCAGCTGTGTTTTCGTCTCTGGGGACTTTTGCAGACCTTGGCAGACCCATGATTCCGTATGAGTCACTGCCCTTTCATACTCCAAGTATCACATTTGAGAAGCCAAGAACCGTTGGTGCTCTGAAAAAGTTTCCACATCTTTGTGGTAAAGTGAACAGTAGTTAGTTCTCCGCAGATGCTCCCGGCTGCCCCCTAGCGGAGCCCGGCATCCTGGTCTCACCGGGGAGGTTGGCAAACCCAAGGGCTCTAATGTGAGGCCAGCTGGGCAGAGTGTATTTCCAGCTAACGTCTCAAGGAAAAACATTGCCATAGCAGGTGGGATGCCTGAAGCCAGGGGTGGCCCAAGGCAGGGTGGTCTTGCTTCCCGAGCTAGGGTCTCCATTTCTGGGGACTCTCTGGGATCTTGAAATCGAAAGAATTGAGGCACAGGGAGATGGGGTCATGTGAATGCCCAGCCGTGGTTAGAGAGAGGAGGGCTCTGGCCTAGCTCCCCCTGACCTGGTCAGGTGCCGCCCACCTGGACAGGTGTAAGCTGCTGGCATCCTCACTCTGGCTTCCCTTCCCTGGGCCTCAGTTGCTCTGTCTGTACAGGGAGGGGCTTGGTTGGCCGGAGCACCACTTCGGTCCCGACAATGAGTCTAGTATTCCATTGTGGATGCTTTGAACTTTCTTCTCAAAATGATTCCCCTACTCCTAGGGATCTTTTGGCTGGTGGATCTTTGCCAGAGTTCCAGGCTGGAGCCCAGTTCTTGGGATTTGGTCAGCGCCACATCTCCAGGAGCTTCTGGTATGGTCTTACCCGCTTCTTGTTTAGGAGTAACCACAGTGGGGTGAGGGGTGACGGAGTGAGGAGAGCCTGAGGGTTAGGGCTGGGGACAGGGAGAGCGGAAAGAGTTTGAGAGACGGAGGAAAGAAAGAGGGGCGAGTATGAGGGCAGGAGGTGGGGCTGTTGGCTCTAGCATTCTCCGTAGAGAAATGATCCCGCATTATTCCCTCTGAAGACTCCCCAGCTCTGCCATGAGGAGCTGTGAGACCCTGGCTGGGCTCCTCCCCTCTCCAGGGCTTTATTTCCTCACCTGAGAAGAGAGACACCTTAGCTGGAGCCTGAACAGGGTTATTGGTGGCGGGGCAGGCAGTGTCCCAGGCAGGTGGGACAACTCATGCAAAGGACCGAAGGAGTGAAAATTTGGCCCTTGGGAAGTTTTTCCCTGTGACCAGAGCTTATACAGGGAGAATGGAGGTGAATGAAGCTGAAGAAAAGGCGTTTCACTTTTAGCCTAAGGATAGTGGGGAGCCACAGAGGGTTTTGCGCACAGGAGAGGCTGGTCAGATTAAAGATACAGTTAAAGGTAAGACACTGGAGGACTTCAGGGAGGCAAGAGAGGGAACCCGGGGGTGTTAAAGTGGCCCAGGTGAGTGACAGTGGTGGCCTGGATGCGGGCAGGGGTAGTGGGAAAGACTTGGGACTGGATCAGGGCAGTTGGGCACCCAGGGGGCCTTTCCTGACGCTGTCAAAGTTGGGGGACTCGGGGCTGTACGGGGTGGAGAGCATGTCCCCTGGGGAAGGGGCCTGCAGGTTGGGGAGGAGGGTCATTGGGCCGTGAGCCCTCTCTGACCCACTTGCCCTGCCTATCGCCCCTTTTCAGCCTTAAGGAATGTCAGCTGGAGCCCCTGAGCCTCTCCTGCCTCTGTGAGACTCTAGAGAAGTGCCCAGAGCCTCTGAAAGTCGAGTAAGTAAGGAGGACACAGTCCCAAAGGCACAATGTGGGCACCTGCTCAGTGACCTGGGCTGGGGGTTAGAGGCCACATGAGTCCTCCCTGGTCGCTTCCTACCTGGTCCCGAAGCCCTCCCCATGGGAGTTGCCTGACCCATTGTGGAAGACTGGTTGCCTTCCAATGGCCTCAGCTTCAGGCATCTCACCCCTCCCCCTGAGGACCCAGGCCTGTGCCAGGCCCGGACTTGTCTTCCCCATCCTCTCAACTCAGGGCACCTGGGAGCCCCAGTCTGCCTCTTTCAGCCCTGGAGCCGCCCTGGCACTACCTGGGCCTGCCTCTGTGGCTGGAGCCTATCGCTCTGAAGGCCCCTCTCAGGGCATCCCCCAAACCCCGGGTTACCAGCTCACCCCAAAACAGCTGGGCCTCTGACAGAGACTGGGCTTAGAATCTGGCATCCTGGCTCAGCCACCTACAAGCTGGGTGACTTTGGGCAAATGGCTTTCACTCTTTGGGCCTTGGCTTTATCATCTGCAAAGTGGACGGTCAGCCTTTCCTTCCATCATCATTGTTGTAATTTTATTGTAATAATTATCTTAAAACAGAGAAATCCAAGACAAACCTGCCTCACCTAAATAACCTCTTCCCTCATCAGCTTAGTGTTGTCATTTGTCCCGGTGGCCTTCTTTTGCATATTCAGTTTTTCCCTCTTCGAAGTCACAGGCCAGCTGCATTCTGCAGTTTCACTTTACTTCACACCATTATGTGTTTTTCCGTTTTGCTACAGTCTTTTTGCTTGCTTTCTGGTTCCCATGTCAAATGCCCTTCTGGCCCTTGCAACAAGCTCATTATCCATGTTGACTGTCTGGTGTGTGTCCTTCCATGCCTCTCTCCACGTTCAAACACATATGGACACAGAGGAAGGGTTTTTTTAAGTAATTTAAAAAACTGAAGTCCAATGTTGTGTTAGTTTCTGATTCAGTTATACATATATGTATATTGTATTTTTCTTTGGTGTTCATGACCTTGACAGTTTTGAAGTCTACTGGTCAGATATTTTGTAAAATGTCCCTCAATTTGGATTTGTCTGATATTTTTCTCATGGTTAAACTGGAGTGATGGATTTTGGGGAAAGAACACCCCAGAGGTGAAGTGCCCTTCTCGTCCCATCTCAGGAGTGTGTGTGGGGACGTGACTTATCACTAGTGACGGTGACCTTGATCACTTGGTCAAGATCGTATTTGTCAGATTCCCCATCATAAAGTTGCTTTTTGATTTAAAAAACACTTTTAATATGGAGACATTCAAGCATATATAAAAGCAGAGAAAATGGAATGATAGATCTTTGGTTCCCCTCTACCTACCTCAACAGTTACCACCTCACAGCCCTAGCGTGCGCACACACACACATTGTTTTGAATCAATTTCCAGATACCTTGTAATTTCATCTTTAGATATTTCAGTATGCACAGCTGAAAGAGAAATACTGTTTTTTTAAGGTTTTTTTTTGGTAAGGGGGAGGTAATTAGGTCTATTTATTTAATTATTTTATTTAATGGCAGTATGGGGTATTGAACCCAGGACCTTGAGCATTCTGGGCATGTGCTCTACCACTTGAGCTATACCCTCCCCACCTCTTTATTTTTTAATATAACCGCAAAATCATTATCAAACATAAAATATTAACATTATTCTATGACACACTAAAATCATCAAATAGCCATTGTCCCTAACTGTCTCTTATGTGTTATTTACACAATATTTGTATGTCCGTGCATTTAACATGAGTCCGTCCATAGTTCTGATGTGCCACAAGTTACTTAGTTGCCCCGCTCTAGGGTCTAGGTGGACATCCAGGCTGCTTCCAAGTTTTTTGGTAGCACAGCAGCCAGTGCTTCAAAAAGTACTCTTCCACTCCTCAACTGTTAAGCACCTATTGTATACGAGGCACTGGGCTCCGTTGGACACAAAGATAACCCGGATACGGGCACTGCTTGCTGAGGCCCACCAGCCACTCTGGGGGTTTGTGGGGAAACTGCTCGCAGGTGGTGCTGGGTGTCTGGAGGACAGGTAGGGGTCTAAGGGCCCCCCTCTCTCCACTGAGGTTGGAGCAAGTGGGATGAGTATGAATGCACTTTGCCAGCTGTAGCGCTGGGACCCCGTGCCGGAGTACTGTTATCTAGATGCTTAATGCGGGAGTCTGGCAATTGTCCAGCTGTGTCCTGGGATTCTACTGGGGAGGCCAGGGAAGGTGGAGGGTCTCTGTCCCCCTCCCCAAATTCCACCCCTGCCCAGCCACTTTGCCTGTGTACATTTTGGCTTTCCATGTGGGATGTTGTAATGGGTAAAGGTTCTATTGCTTAAAGACAAAACAAAACAGATAACACAACAACTAAAATAGTGTGTAAACCCCATATTGACCCAACTAGAGACCATAGCACTGTGTTTTTGGGGGACCGGTAGAAAGCCACTGGTGTTTGTGGTCAGACCACCCCTCAAAAAGGCCCCTGTTCTGCTTGTGCTTGGAGCCCCAGGCCCAGTCCCAGGACAGAGGGGATAGAACTGAGCTGACAGCCTGGGCCTTGACAGAGGCTCCTGGCTTCCAGCTCCAGAACCATGGGATGCCCCTCCTACTGTTCCCCTCACAAAGTGAAGTGAGTCCCCCTCCAACCGGACAATAATGCAGTGGAGGTGGGCCAGGCTCATGGAAGCCCCAGAGATGAAAGGGCAGCCTGCAGGGGGCAAAGGGACAGGGACAGAGAAAAGAAGGGACAGCCAAGAGAAAAGAGGGAGAAGCTGGAAGGAAAATATAGTCCGAACCTGGCCTCCGGGGGTCAGGAAGTGGCTCAGACTTCCAGGGGGAGCTGTGTGGAAATCCCAGAGTGCACAGAGACTCCGGTTGCTCCAGTCCTCTGGCCGGAATAGAGACCAAAGCGTGGGTAGCAGGAGTTTCTTCTAAGTGGACTGGCTTCTGACGAATTATCTGGACAAGTGATCAGCTGGTTCATCTGGTTTTGATGGGCAGTCAGAGACCCCAGCTACCCTGCATTTCTCCTTTGCTGACCTGTTATGTGCCTGAATTGCCACTATTATGTTCATTCCTTTGGGTTAAGATGGCATTCTCTTCACAAACATGTTCTACCCATCACTAGTCTTCATGGCCCTCAAAATAATAGTCCTGCTAGTTCATGTCTTCTGGGGAAGAAAAATGTCTACTGTAGCCTCTTAGAAATTCACAATGTACCAGGGCAGGTTAAAGGCTCTGAGAAGTCCTGCAGCGAAGAAAACGAATGTGGCCTAACCCATCATTTTTCAAACATATATGAGCTTCCTGTTCCTCTGTCTCAATGATAACTCAAAGACCCAGTGTTCAGAGGGAGTATCTGGGGAAACCCTGGTTTAGGACCCATCTCCAGAAGGCTCTGGCTGTGAAGCCACACTCCTAGCTTTTTCCAAGGCTTCCCCACCTCATTCAGACGTTTTGTTTCAGATTGTCCTGCAATGTCCTGAGTGACCAGAGCCTGGAGACCCTGCTGCACCACCTACCCCAACTTCCCCAGCTAAGCCTGCTGCAGTAAGACTGGTTTCCCCATTTCCCTGTGCAGGGCTGAGGCTCTGGCATTGCAAAGCTGTCTCCTTCTCTTGGGCTGTTCCATCATTTTATCTGGCGCATCTGGGAACTTGAGTCTACTTCCAGCTCTTCCCTAATATTTTAACAACCTTGGGAGAATTATCTGACCCCTCAAAGCCTCAGTTTCCTCATCTGACAAATGGGACTAATATTCTCCAACCCCTCTCGCAAGGTTGGGGTTCAAACAAGACAGTTGCTTTAAAAGCACCTTGAAGAATGGAATGCATGTGACAAATGGGCCATCATACTTCTCCTCAGCCACAGAAAGGTCACCTACTCCTCAAAAGAGACTTTACAGTTGTAGGTCATGTCTGTATCACACACCCATTTTTAAAGGTCACCATCTAACTGTAAATGGGGAATTTAAACAGCATCCCCCAAAGTATTTAAAACTCTTTTCTAATTTCAGCTCAGACTGGTTAGAATTTAAAAAGGATTTACTTTAAATATTTTTCTTGCAAGGGGTAAAAGCAGCTGCAGCTGAGATGGAAAAATACAACAGGAAATTAAATCTCACCATTAATAGCAGCAACATAGTACTCATGCTGAGGATCTCTGGGACACCTGAGGAGGCTCATATCGCATCTAGGGTCTTGCTTATCCCTGAGTCCTGTCAGGGAGGGAAGGAGGGGATGTGTGACATTCCAGAGGTGATCGTGTGGCAGAGCCCATGTCAGACTACAACATCCACTGTGGTCCTACCCTGCCAGGAAAGAATGGATCAGGAAGGGCTCCTCTGGACACAGAAGTTGGCAGGTTAAAATCAGTGGTTGGGAAACCTCAGACCAGAGAGGGATTTTTCTATGCCCAGCATCACACAGCACCAGCTCCCAACTTGTCATCTGTCTTTGGAATGAGGTGGCCAGCCTGACCCTCACCAGTGCTTAAGTTTTGTATTACTCAGTCCCTAGTGTTTGTGCACTGCTGTGGACCAGGCACTGCTTGGGGTGCTGCAAACACAGCAGAGAGGGAAACAAAGACCAGGTTCTTATCTTCTTGGAGCTTACTTTGTAGAAGAGGGAGCTGGACAATAAGCAAAGTGGAAGCAAATGAGATGAATTCAGACAGTGGTAAGGTATTTTTCTGGATAAAGCAGTGAAGAGTGACTGGGGAAGTGATTTAGACAATGGTGGGGGTGGTCAGGGAACACCTCTGAGGAGGGACACTGGGGTGCAACCAGAAGAAAGAACAGGAACCAGCCTTATGAAAAGCAGGGAACAGCATCCCAAGAAAAGGGAACAGCATTCCAGGAGAGGGAACAGCATGCATGAGGCCCTGAGGCAGGACTTAGCTTGGTAGGCTCAGGAAACAGCCAGAAGGCCAATGTGGTCAGAGCACAGTGGCTGGCAGAGTTGTAGGAGAGGAGGTAGAGAAAAGGACCTTCTAAGTAGCCATGGGAAGGATTCTGAAGTTTGCCCAAGTAAACTTGAAAGGCACAGGAGTGATTTGTATTTTCAAAAGCTTAGTCTGGCTGCTGGGTAGAGAAAAGGGATTGCGGGACAAGCATGAAAATAAGAGCAGGGAGGAGGCTGTACAACCAGGTGAGAGATGATGGGGGCTGGGAATTGGTGTGTGAGGGGGAGGTAGGTAGACTCAGGGTGGATCTTGGGGGTGGAACTAGCAAGACAAGCTGATGGAGGATTTATGGGCTGAGGATGCCTCCAAGAGCAAAATGGCAGCATCTCACTTTCCCTAAGGCAGTGGTTGGCAATTGGGGGTGACTTTGCCCATGAGGGGACATTTGGCGATGGAGACATTTTTGTTGTCACGAAGGCAGAAGAGGTAGGAGTAGTGCTACTCCTGGCATCCAGTGAGTAGAGGTCTGGAATGCTGCTGACCGTCCTACAGGACAACCCCCAACACCAAAGAATTATGCTGAGCTTGAGAAACTCTAAGGGCCTGAAGCTTCCCACTCCCCATCAGCAAGGACTGGCCTATCAAGTTCCTGCTTGAGGGTAGAAACAGTGTAAAAATAACAAGCATGGGTATCATGCTAGGCAGCACGCAAACATGATATGATTCGATCCTTGCAATACCTTAGAGGAAGGTATACCATAAGTGGTCCTGTTTTCCAGATAAGGAAACTGAGGCTCAGAGAGGTTAAGTGATTTGCCTAAGGACACACAGCCAGTAAGCAGAACTAGGGCTCAAACCTAAGTCCATTTGACCCCAAGCTCCTGTTTTTGCCCCTTGAGTCCCTGCCTCCTTCCTTATTACCTTGCTGACCCACCAGCCCAGCATCCTTTTCCTACCCCTCCAGTCTGTCCAGGTTTCTTGCCCCCTGATCTTGTTTGGCTCCCACTTGCTCACATAGGGCCCTACCCCTTTCCTTCTCAGGCTAAGCCAGACAAGACTGTCCCCAGAGAGCCCCCTCCTGCTGGCCAACCTCTTCAGCCAGTGCCCACACGTTCAGAAGGTGGATCTCAGGTGGGTGTTGCCCTGGGACAACTGGAACTAGCCTGGGAGGGCGGTACCCGGAATCTGTTGAATGTCAGGGACTACAATGGAGGCAGTAAGACCCAAGTCAGAGGCTCAGGTGCTGGAGGAGGGGTGCCTGCCCCCTGGGGACCTCCTGAGGCTGTGGCCAAGGGTGGCTGACCCAGATGCTGTCCCCTCTAGGTCCCTGAATCACACGACCCTGCACTTCAGATCTAGGGAGGAGCAGGAAGGCGGGTGCTGTGGGTAAGTACCCTGGAACCATGCCCAGGCAGCCAGAGAGGACTGGGGACGAGGAGACCTGCCTCCTGGGTGGCTAGAACAGGGCACAGACTGAGAGGGCTGGGCTTTGTCACGGGCAAACAAGGAGTACACAGCAGGCTAGATTAGAAATCAGGGCTCTGGTCTGAGGAAAAGGATCCCATGCCCTGGCTTTTGCCCCTTCCTGCAGCAGGTTCACAGGCTGCAGCCTCAGCCAGGAGCACATGGAGCGGCTGTGTTGCTTGCTGAGCAAGTGTGAAGACCTCCGCCAGCTGGAGTAAGTTGGGGAGGAGGAGGGAACAGAGCCCGGCAGCGTGTGCCTCGGTGGCATTGGAGGCGGGGTGTGTGTGTGTGTGTGTGTGTGTGTGCGCGCGCATGCACGCGCTTAACATCTCTCAGGACCAGCTAACAGGGGACAAGATGCCTCTGACTGAGTCACATCCATAAGTCTCCTCTGTCCTGTTTTTATCCTTCCCACTCCCCAACCATGGAGAAGCTAGTTCAGGGTGTGCTCTTCCATTATAGCAGGAACTTTCTCTTATTTTAAAGGTTACTTGATTAAGTGGCTTCCTGAGACAAACTGATTTTTAATTTTGAAAGTTTCTTAGGAAAAGAGGAAATAACAAGCCTCAAAAGTGTCATAAGCAGGGGCAAAATGAGTTCAGCGACGCAGGAAGAAAATCAGACATTTCCAGGCATGCTAATGATATTGTTTCTGAAACTGTAGCTACAACCACAGACTGCTGCAATGAAGGGAAATAAGAAAGTTCAAGTGCAGCTTCTGATATTGTATTCCCAAACTAAAGACAAAATTTCTGGGGTGAATGCATCCTCCAAACTCTTTCTTTTTCCTTATCTCACTCTTGTTCAAAAATTGTGGCTCCCGATGGATGCAGACCAAGGGCATAGTAAAAGCTAATTGGTTTTTTTCTGACTCCTGAAAGCCTGCTGGGGGAACGCGAGTCCTGAGAGTGGTCACCAGATGTTGAAGGGGAAGATGAGGACTGGCTAACTGTGGTGCTGCTGAGGGGGATGGTGGTGATAATCCTAGTGGTGATGGAGATGGCAGTGCTGTGGTGATGGGCATGGTGATGCTGAGTGGTAGGGGTGGGATGGCTCCAGCGGGGAGGATGGTGATGTCGGGACAGAAGTAGTGCAGAGTGGTGTAGGTGGTGGTGGAAGGGGTGATGACAGTGCTATGTGGGTAGAGTAGCAGTGATGGTAACTGAAGAGAAGGCACATGTGACCATCAACAACCTCCTCCTGCCTCTTACAGCCTCTCAGGAAACCTGCTGGGTGATGACGGGCTCAGGTGCCTCCTGGAATGTCTCCCTCAGGTGCCCATCTCTGGTTTGCTTGAGTAAGTGACTAGCAGCCTCAAAGACAACACGGAGGAAGGCATCCTGGGGCCAAAAGCATTAACAGGCCTCTTTTGAGGCATCCCTAGAGAACTCCAGAGGACAAGGGCTGGGTAGGGGGAAGGGATGGTTCCTACCTTGACCTCCAAGTCAAGTTTTCTCCTTTCCTCATTGCCTACCATGGGCAGAGCTCCCACCAGACACAGCAGGGGAAGCTGTGACTAAAGCTTGGTGACCCATGTTGATGCCGGGCAGGGAGCAACAGTTCATCCCCAGCCAGCAGCAGGATCTCAGTTGTCTTGGCTCTTGGTCCATTCTGTCCCTGAAACTCTACTGACCAAATCTACAGGACACAGATTTGAAGATGTCCCCACAGCAGGGAGGGTCCGTAGGAAGTCATCCTCACTCTCACTCTGTCTCCCCACTGACATGGGAGACTGGTGACCAGAGACAGGATACAGCCCATTTCTAAGCAACTGAGCTTTGTGCTCTGGGCATCCCTGACCCCCTTGGGGCTGGAGCTGCCAGCCTGGCCCCATCAACACCCTGTCTCAGACCCCAGGAGCAGCAGTAGGCACAGTGAGGGCAGCTCTCGAGGACTCAAGCTGGTGCCTGACCTGCCTGTGTAGGGATAGCATCCCCTTGGCCTTTCTCTGGACCTCAGTGTCTCCATCTGGAGAATGGACACTTGGACATGGAGGACTCTCCTCCGGAGATGACAGCTGGAAGGGAGGAGCAAAGGGTGCTGAGCAGGGCTCCTTTGAGGTGCTGCTGCCCAACCCCTACCCTGAACCTCTTTTCTAGTCTGAGTCACAATAACATCTCTCAGGAAGGTGCCCTGTGCCTGGTGGACGCTCTCCCCTCCTGTCAACGTGTCCGGGAGGCCTCAGTGAAGTAAGGAGATGTTGGTGCCACTTGCTGCTGGCAGGGGAAGGAAGACTCTCACACTTGGTAGTCCTCTACCCGTGTGACTTGGGGCAACCCCCGCCCCTCTCTGAGTCTCAGGGTTCACTAAATATGGAATCATAGTTTCCATATTCTGAGTCCCATGTGCCACAGGGACCAGGGAGATCACGAGGTGGGGAACTCCAGGTTTAGCATCCTCACAGAAGGGGTTGGAGGTCTCCTCTGGTTGGCAAGGGGCTCTCCCGTGGCCTCCGGCCTCCACCCTCCCCAACCCCCATGTGTCCAGCCCCCTTCCCTCCTGCACCCTCCACTCCTGGGTCCCAAGGATGCTGGTGAGCCTGGGCTTTTGGCTTCCCCACACCCCTTTCTCTGCAGCCTGGGCTCCAAACAGAGCTTCTGGATTCACTTGTCCCAACAGGAGGAGGCTAGGAAGACACTGAGGTAATTCCCGGTCCAGGGTGAGGAGGGAAGGGGAGGGAACAGAGAAGAGGAGGCTGACCCTGTGATGGCCTCCGTGCCTGCTTCTCCTCTGGGGCCTCTCCTCCTTCACACACCCTGCTTCAAGCTGCTCCCTGGGTTTGCCTCCCCTACATCTGCCCCCAATCTCCTCACCCCTCCAGTCCCCCGAAGGGCTGGGCCTTCGCATGGTATTTGTGCCCCTTAGCCATGTCCTCACTGTAAGTCTGGAGGCTTCTGAGTTAAGAGATCAGACTCTGGAGCCACCTGGGGTAAATCTCAGTTCTATCACTTACCAGCTGTGTGACCTTGGACAAGTGACTTAACCTCTCTGCGTTTCAATTCTTCATTTGTAAAATGCAAATAATAGTAAGACCTATCCCTAAGGGTTATTGTGAGGATTAAATGAGTTAATATGTATAAAGTGCTTAGAAAGGGCCTGGCTTATTCAAGTGCTGTATCAGTTCTTGTTACTATTACTGTTGTTGTTGTTGTTGTTGTTATTATTATTATTATTCCTCTCCCAGTAGCCTTGGGCTCTGTCTCTCTCTCTCAGCCTTGGGTCAGTTTCTCTGCATGTCTTACTTCAGCTGTAATCAGGGCCTCCGAACTGGTCCACTGCCATTGACCAGGCCTCCTCCAATCACCCCACTGCACCCAGAGGGATCTTCCCAAGACACTATCCAACTGGGCCACTCCATTGCTCTAAGCCCTTCAGTGGCTCCCAGCTGCCTTCAGGATAAAGTTCAGATTCTTTAGCCTGGTCTTCTCCCTCACAGTCTGATCTGCCCATCACCTCCCACCATGTTCTTCCTCACTCCCCACCACCACACTCACACCACACTCACAGCAGACACATCACATCTGCACACACATCACACACCACACACACATAAACACACACAACATATACAACCAACACATATATACACATGTACACACCACACACAAAGACACTCACCACACATACCACATCCACATGCACACCCACCAGACATATCCCACATACACACCACACACCACACACCACAAACCACACACATACATACATGCACACAAATTCAGCCACAAGAGATCTTTGCTCCACATTCACCAGACCCACCAGACCCAGCGGCTCTGCTTCTGGGACCCAGCCTGACACTTCCCCGCCTTTTCTGAGATCAAATTCTCCCAGACCTTTAAGATCCAGCTCAAATGTCAGCCACTCCTGGACACCTCTGGTGGCCCCTGTCCTGTGAAAGTGGGCGCCCCATGGTGCTGTGCTGGGCCCTCGTCTCAGCCCAACTGTGAGACAGTGTTTGGGGGCCTATCTGCTGGCCACACAGGGCCGGGCACTGGTTGTGGGGGGTGGGCAGGGCCACAGCAAGAATCCCAGTCCCTCCTGCCCCACAGGGAGCCTGGACCATTCAGTGCTGGAGAGTAGGGAATTGGTCACGGGGTTGGGGTCTGGAGTCAGGCTGAGTTGGGTGGAAACCCAACTCTGTCCCTGCTTCTGTGTGTGTCTTTGGGTTGGTCACTTTCTCCACCTGCAAATGACACTGTTAAAGGAGGTTAAAGGAGATACTGCGTGTAAGGCAGGCGCGCCGGCTCGCTCACCCTGTGCACCCAGGGGCTGGCCCAGGCCCAGCCTTAGACTCAGGGCTCAGTCAGTGACTCACTCCTAGCACTTTCTTGGGCGGTTGTGTCTCCATAGAGATGAGAAGCTTCCACAGCAGGAGTTGCATCTTTGGCCTTTTCTCAGGCCCTAGTCTAGGCCTTCGCATTCAGTGGGGGCTCCCCTCAGGGGTCCTGGGGGAAACTAGGGGGAAGCAGGACAGCAGCCCCAACCAGCCTTGCCCAAGCTCTGCCTCCGGCCTTCTGCCCTCAGGCTCAGCGAGTGCAGCTTTGGGCCAGAGCATGTGCCCAGACTGGCCGCCGGCCTGAGCCAGGCCCTGCAGCTGACGGAGATCACGTGAGTGATCGGGCCCAGTCCATGGGGGCAGCTGAGGGTGGGGGCTCCCTGCCAGAGCCCCCCTGGTAACTGACCTCTGTCCCCAGGCTGACCCAGTGCTGCCTGGGCCTGGAGCAGCTGACTGTCCTCCTGAGTCTGCTGAAGTGGCCGGCAGGGCTGCTCAATCTCAGGTATCGCCTGCCTGTGAACCTGGGAGGGGGCTGTGGTGTGAATGGAGGGCAGAGGTGGGCACTGAAGTGGTCCCCCCAAGGTCATGGCCTTAACCATCTCCTGCATCCCAAACCCTGCCACCTGGACGCAGAGCCATGTACCCATTAGTTCCAGAAACCCCCTCAGGCACAGAGAAGCCACCCTCCCCAAAGTGAGGCCTATACTTGGGGACTACAGAGAAAAGGAAACTTCAAAGGACACCCAGCTGAGGTCGAAAATAACACATGACAAATATGTTTGAAAATTCTCTATTATTATTTTAAAACATCCAGAAAAACAGAGACGTTTACAAAAAGTAGAGAGAACTGTTTTGAAAATTCATGTCCCCATCGCCTGGGTTTGACAATTATTCATGTTTTTCCGTGTTTGTTTCGTATTTTTATTTTTTGGCTGAAGTGTCTTTAAATAAGTTATAGATCTCACAAAATATCAGTCTGAAATATTTCACCACAACTCTTTAAAAAATAAGGACATTTTTTAATGCCATTTGCAGCAACATGGATAGACCTAGAGATTATCATATTAAGTGAAGTAAGTCAGGCAGAGAAAGACAAATATCATATGATGTCACTTACATGTGGAATTTTAAAAGATATAAATTTTACTTACAAACCAGAAATAGACTCACAGACATAGAAAACAAACTGGTTACTAAAGGGGAAAGGGGTTTGGGGGGAGATAAAATAGAAGTTTGAGATTAACAGATGCATATTACTGTATAAAAAATAGATTAACAACAAGGAACTACTGTATAGCACAGGGAACTATATTCAACTTTTTATAGTAAGATATAATGGGAAATAATCTAAAAAAATACGTGCATGTTTATGTATAATGGAATCACTTTGCTTATATCTGAAACTAACATTATAAATCAACTACAGTTCAACTGTAAAAAATTTAATAAATAAATAAATAAATAAACAAGGACATTTTCTACATAATCACAGTTGAATTAGGACACCTACAAAAATCAGTAGCAATTTCTTAGTGTCAGCTATTACCCAGTTCAATCTAAAATTTCCCACTGTCCCCAGATGGGACAGCTGGCTCTTTGGATCCAGGATCCAGTCAAGGTCCACATTTGCATGTGGTGATGACAGCTCTGAGGACTTAAATCAGTGACCTGTGGACAAAACCAATCCTCTGTGCTGTAGATGGTCCCACTTTCTGGCTCTGTCTGGTGCCTCCCTGTGATGTCATTAAGTTTGTTCCTCTAACCCCTAACTCTCCTGGAACTGGAAAGTCTCCATGAGATTCAGTGACATATTTGTGTCAAAAAAAAACCTTACTTCATGGCTAGTACCATGCACTTCTCAATGCAGGCCATAATGAGGCACGTAAAGTTCAGCTGCTCCCCCAAATAACATTTTTAAAAACTGTGGTATAATATACCTAAGATAAAAGTTACCGTCTTAACCATTTTTAAGTGTAACCAGAACTCTTCGTGCAAAACTGAAACTCAGTACCCACTGAGGACCTCCGCATTGCCCCCACCCCAGCCCCTAGCAGCCACCTTTCTATTTTCTGTCTCTATGGCTCTGACTCCTCTAGGTTCCTCGTGTAAGTAGAATCAAGAAGTATTTGTCTTTTTGTGACTGGCTTATTTCACTTAGCATAATGTCCTCAGGGTTCATCCCTCTTGTACTGTATTACAAAATGTCCTTCCTATTTAAGCCGAAGAATACTCCACGATAGGAATATACCACATTTTCTTTAGTCATCCATCTATCAGTCGACGCTTGGGTCGCTTCCACCTTTTGACTCTTGTGATTAATGCTGGTATGAACATAGATGTACAAATATCTCTTTGTATCTCTGTTTTCAATTCCCTTGGGTCTATACCCAGAATTGCTGGATCACTCCAAATAACACTTTAAGATAAAATTTGTCTTACTCTAAAATTTATAGAAAACCCAGAAGAGCCTAAGAAGAAAATCATACTTTGGGGGAAAAACTTCAACCTAACTTTAAAAGGAGGAAATTTTAAACAACTCTCTTTATCTCTGCTTCTAAATGAATGCATGCACATTGTTAGAAAGTTTAGAAAGTATTGAGAACTAAAGAAGAAATAAAATAAAAACCATTCGTGAGAATTCTACCATTGAAACAATCACCATGATATTTAATATATTTACCTCATAGCTCTGTCTCCTTTCTCCCTGTATATTTTTCTTTATATATATATTTTTTTTCTTTTTTAATACAAAATTGGGATCATGTTTTATATACAACTTTATTTCCTTACCTTTGCAACGTGACATTATATAGACCTTTTCTTAAACCTAAAAATATAGTTTAAAAAATAACGTTTTCTGTTTGGATTGTTGCAATAACTGTTGGAACAAGGATAATGTTAATTTTTTTGTTTCATTCTTATGCCTAGGTTTAAATTTTATAGTTTTAAAATAAGCAAAAACCAAAAAAGCTTCTAGGCCCTCCTTGACACTCTTCTCCCAGCCCCTACTAACCCTGGAGGACCTTCTTCTGTGTCCACTTCTGTGATAGGGTGAAGGAGCCGTGGGTGGGCCGAGCTGGGGTCCCCACCCTGCTGGAAGTCTGTGCCCAGGCCGCAGGCAACATCACTGAAATAAGGTGAGTCCAGGGAGGAGGCCCCTCAGAATTCTTCATCTTTTCATGACCATTGGGACCATCCCTCATCTAGACATTGGTCTCTTGTCCTGTAGGGTAATAGCTGCGTTACTAGTGAGTTCACTGGGTCCCCAGGATGACAGGAGCCCCTGAGGCATGTGTGAGGGGCGAAACTTACTTGTTGGGACTTGTGCAGTAGGCAGGCTGCAGTGCCAGAGAGAGGACAACAGCCCCAGATTCAAGACAAAGGGCTGTTAGACCCTAGACAGACACTGCTGGGAGTCCATGCTGGTTGTCTGGAAGTGGCTCCTGGATGACATTAACACACACCAGGCCTCTGTGACCAGAGGTGACAGAATCACATGGACTAGATAAGAACAAAGGCTTTGGTGTCCCTGTTGTCTAGATCCCCACTGGGTCTGGGAGCTCAGTGGGCTGGGTAGCCCCAGTCCCAGCTCAGCCTGCACAGGAAAGCTGCCATGGGCCTCATACTGGCTACCCCTTCCCTCCTCAGCATCTCCGAGACCCAGCAGCAGCTCTGTATCCAGCTGGAATTTCCCCAACAGGAGAACCCAGAAGCTATGGCCCTCAGGTGGGACCCTGTACCTGGGGCCTCAAGGAAGCGGGTTGTGATGGGGTAGGGGAGTGTGAGAATGGAGGCATTGGGCCTTCTGACCAATATTTCTCATGTCCCTGCTGAGAGTCCTTTATGTCCAAAGTCTCTACATGGCCTATGAAATCTGGCCTAATCTGCCTCTTCACGGTGTCCGTTCCCACCCCAAACCCAGTCTCAGCTCCAGTTATCCCTACCAACTTTCAGCTACTGGAACATCTTGCTCCCTTTGACCTGAGGGCCTTTGCACAGGCTGTTTCCTGCCCAGAATATTCTCTTCTCCCTTTCCTTCTTCATCCTTCTACAGCTAGCTAACTTGACCGTGCCCTTCAGGTCTCAGCTTAAATGCCACCACCTCAGGGAGGCCCCTCTAAACCTCAGAATTTGTCAGGCGCTCTCATTATCCACTCTTATAGATCCCTGGATTCACAGCACCTTTAATCCATACAGCACATTTTTGGAAATTAAAATGTCACCCCTTTGGGGTGAATGCAGCCCTACATGTATACATTGTGAGGAATAGACCATACCTGAATCTCAGCCCCAACTCACCACTTTGGCTGGGTCCTCTTGTGCAGTGAACAACCTGCACAGCCATACCAGGTGCCCCAACTAGACCTCTCCTTCATGATTGAATAGTAAATTCTGGGGCTTTATTTGATCAGCGTGTATTTACCCCTACAAAAAGATAAGCTTTTTGCAGGCAGGGACTGAGTCCCCAATACTGACTCAGTTGTTCAGAAACTGCTGCCTCCCTGTCCACCTCCAGGTTGGCTCAGTGCGACCTTGGGACCCACCACAGCCTTCTGGTCAGACAGTTGATGAAGACATGCGCCAAGCTGCAGCAGCTCAGGTCGGCACCCTGAAACACTGTCTGGGGCCCTGAGTTCTCTGTGTAATCCTAGTGCCCGCTCCAGGCTGTAGGTGAGGGGCTGGCCAGTCCAGGATGGGGAGAATCCCACTTGGCCAGTAGGGGAGAGCCCTAGGGTGACATAGGGGAGCCTTGCCTCCTGGGAGCTCTTGGGTGGGCCTTTCCCCTCTCTTGGCCTCCTATCTCTATGTGATAGATGATCCCTGAGGTGTGTCCAGCCTGAAACCCTCTGGAATATGCTTGGGCCTTTTCAGCTTGTCCCAGGTGAACCTCTGTGACGCCAGCTCTCTGCTGCTGCAAAGCCTCCTGCTGGCCCTCTCCGAGCTGAAGATCTTCCGGTAGGCAGACAGGACTCCCACTCGGGTCCCCCCGCAGCTCCGCCCACACCCACCCCTCCTGTTCTCTCCAGCCCTGGCCTCAGGAGAACTCTGGCCCCATCTTGTGGGCTGGGACCACATGTGGCCCTGGAGATGATGTTGGGCTGCATAGTCATCAACATGGCCACGTGAAGAGAAAGGGGTTCCCTTTTCAATGCTCTTTCTTTTACTTTATTATTTGGAAATAATTGCAAACTAATGTAAAAATTGCAGGAAGACTGAGAAGAACTTCCATATACCATTTCCCAAATTCATCCTTTGTCAATATTTTTTCACATTTGCTCTTTTCTTCCCTCCTTCCCTACCCTCCTCCTTTTCACCCCTCCCTTCTCTTCTCCCTGCCCCTTTCTTTTTCTGAACCATTTGAAAGTAAGTTGCATAATCATGCCCTTTCACCCCTTAATACTTCAGTGAATTTCTTAAGAACAAGAACATTCTCTTCCCTAATCCAGTAAAAGAGCAAAATTAAGGAAATTTAACATTGATACCCTACTATTATATAAACTACAGTTTATATTCCAATTTTGCCAATTGTCCCAATCATGTTTATTGTGTTTTTTTTTCTTTTTGAGTCCTGGATTCCATCCAGGATCACTGACTGCATTTAATTGACATCTCTCTTTAGCCTCCTTTGGTTTGGAATCAGTCCTCAGCCCTCTTTGCCTTTCAGGATATTTTCATGACATTTACACGCCAGCTAGTTTACAGAATGTCTTTCAGCTTGAGTTTATCTGCTCTTTCCTCATGCTTAGATTTAGGTTCTGCATTTTGGGCAGGAATATCACAGAGGTGCTACTGTGTTCTTCTCAGTGCATCACATCGGGAGGCCCATGATGCTTGTTTGTCCCCTTACTATTGATGTGAATTGTGATCAGCTGGTTAAGGTGGTGTCTGCCAGTTTTCTTCACTTGCAAAGCTACTATTTTTCCCTTTGGAATTAACCAGTTATTTTGTCGGGAGATACTTGGGAAGATGTAAATATCTTGTTCTTCCTCAACCTTTCACTCATGAATTTTAGTGTCCATTGATAATTCTTGCCTGAATCAGATATCAGTATGATGGTTGCAAAATGGAGATTTTCTAATGTTCAGTCCTCATTTAATCCAACTGTTTGCATCAAGGAGGTCTCCATTGGGTGCTGATGTATCTTTAACACATCTCCCATACTTAGATTTTTTGCTGTTGAAGATGCAGAGCTCATGGTAAATGACAATAACTAGCTAGACTTTACAGCAATACCTGATTATGGCAGACACTGTGGAGCTGCTACCTGAATGATTGTGGTTTAGGGAAATATTCAGCTAGTCCATGTTCCTATCTCCAAGCTATATCTTTTTTTAAAAAGATGTTTATTTTATTTACTTATTTTTATTTTATTATTATTTTTTAATGGAGGTACTGGGGATTGAACTGAAGACCCGTACATGCTAAGAATGTGCTCTACCAGTGAGCTATACCCAGCCCCACTCCAGGCTATATCTTGACTTACTGATTCCATGATGGGAGAGATTTATGAAGGGAGGGAGGGTCCCCTCCTGCTGTTCCCCAGGAACCACCCCCCACCCCACCTCCTTGCCCTCTGTCACCAGCATTCAGAGCTCCCAAGACCCAGAGCTCCTACCTGACCTGCTCCCCTTTGACCCCCAACAGGCTGACCTCTAGCTGTGTGAGCGCCAAGGGGCTGGCCCACCTGACATCTGGTCTGAGCCACTGTCAGCACCTGGAGGAGCTAGAGTGAGTCCCAGGGTAGAAGGATCTGGGAAGGGATGGCCCAGCTGAGGACCAGGGATGAAGAGGACAGTTGGGCCTTTGGTAAAGTGGGTGGTGGGACTTCAGCCTATTGCTTTTCTTCCTAATGAAGCCTGGCAACTCGGCGTGGCTTGGGGCAGGCTGAGCGCTGAGTTCTTGGTCTTGAATTTGCCCCTCTCTCAGAGTGACTTAGGGTGAATAACTGTGCCTCTCTAGACTTGAGCAGCCTCATCTGTAGAATGGGGCTCGTCATCCTTCTTTACCTAGAGTAGCTATGGGTGTTGGGTACAAGAAAGCTATGGGGTAGAGGAGAGCATTGCATTCATGTGTGCGCATGGGTGAGTGTGTGTATGTTTCCCTTGTCCCTGTCTTCCTCTGTTGAAACCCAGGGCACTTTTTCTCAGTTGGATCAGCTGTGACTGCCATGCTCTCTTCTGCAGGGACCCCAGAGCTGACCCTTGGGGCCAGGAATGCCCCCGTGGAGCCTGGTCAGAGGGGTGGTCTAAGATCTGCAAACCCAGAGCCAGCCTCCTTAGGGGACTGAGAAGGGGGCAGAGCTGGTGAGACAGCTCCGCTCCAAGGGCGGGGCAGGCTTGTCTCATCCTCATCTTATGCTTGGTCCCCTCCAGCTTGTCTAACAATCAATTTGACGAGGACGGCACCAAGGTGCTGATGGGGGCCCTTGAGGACAAGTGCTGGCTGAAGAGGCTTGAGTAAGTAGTGGTGGTGAATGGAGGTTGGGGGCAGAGATGGGGAGTTGGGAGCATCCTAGGAATCTTGTTCTTTTTGTATCTCTTGTGAACACAAACTATCAATCCCCTAGATGGACCCAGGTGAGCCGAATGCCCTCCCTTTTCCTTTCTTAGCTGGTTCTGAGTGCTATCAAAATGCTTGATCATGGGAAACAGAATACTTGCCCGAACTGACCCAAGCCAGAAATGTATTGGATCATGTCACAGAAAGTGACAAGGCAACTGACTTCAGGCAAGGCTGGATCCAGGTTCTGTACTTGTCCCCCCGCTCCTCACTCCCGCCCCATTTCACTCTCCCATTTGACATCATTCTCAGGGAGGCTGTCCTTGCAGCTGCAGGCTCACCATCTACCATCTAACTGGAAAAAGGAGCACCTTTCTCCCTGTGCCTACCACACAAGGCCCAAGATTGAGTCTCACTGGACCAGCTAGCGTCACACGCCCACCCCTAAACCATTCACTGTGGCTCTGAGCACACAGTAATCTGGCCAGATCGGGGTCGCGTGCCCACCCAATTATCTGGACTGAGTCAGAGGTGGTATTTCAGGGGGCTGTTAACACAAGAAAGGGAAGCAAACTCTGGCAGAAAAAAAACCCCACAGATGACCACTGCCATTTGCCTACAGTCATTCCCTTAGTAACTGACACTACTCTTCCCTGTAATTTGGAGTCATCAAATTCTTGGAAACACCAGAAACAGCCTCAGTCTGAAGGATAGGTCCCTATCCTGCGTGGACGTGACAGTGCCAGGAAAGAACACTTGGCAGGGCATGTTCTGCTTTTTGTTGTTGTTGTTGTCGGGGAGGATAATTAGGTTTATTTATTTACTCATTTATTTTGATGGAGGTACCGGGGATTGAACCCAGGGCTTCATGCATGCTAAGCATGCACTCTACCACTGAGCTGTGCCCTCCCCGGCATCTTCTGCTTTTGATCTCAAAGTTTTTCTGATGACCAAAAATACACACTAATTATAAAAAGTTCCATTATCATAGAAATATGTAACAAAGAACACGAAGTCCCCTGGCAATGACATCTCCCGGGAAGGCTTCTGTAAATGAGCCATTTGTGAATTTTTCTCCAGATTTTTTTTTTTGATGCATGTTTTAAATACATTTTCAAAGCAGCCCTTTCACTTTTTGCCCCATAGCAACAAAATTCTCCCACTTTGTCCCGCTTTGCTTGTCCTGGGGAGGCAAGGGGATGATTAGAGAGACCTTTTCCAACGTTGGCATAACGATACCTTTCTGTCTGAATGAAGGGGTTGGAGCCTCAGTCCCCAGAGGCCTCTTCTGGTTCCAGATCTGTCATTTCTGAGTGTCTCCTCCCTGACAAATAGCTCCCCTAGAATCCAGACGACTTTTTCTGCCTGTCCCTCTGTGTTGAAATGGTTGGGGCATGGGCGCCGGTTAGGAGCCACACCCTCTGGGTTCAGCTGTTGGTGGGGTGACCAACTGTCCTAGTTTGCCCTGGAGCAGAAAGTCCTGCATCCTGGAAAACCCCTTGGTTCTAGGCAAACCAGGACAGCTGTCACCTCTCGGCTCCACCTCTTAATGTGTGAATTTAGGCAAGTTACCTAACGTTTCTGTGCTTTTTTCTTCATCTTAACTCGGGATAATAGCTGGACCTACCTCCTAGGTGGTCATGAAGATTAAATGAGATAACGCATATGAAGCACTTAGAACAGGACCTGGCACAGAGTTCACACTCTATAAGTATTGACTGTTGTTGTTGTTATTATTATTATTATTACCTTTTCCTGCCCAGGCTGGGGGCCTTAAGGAGCATGGTCCATGCGTAACACATGGTTGGGGCCCAGGAATGGGAATCCTACAGCCTTGGGTTCTGCTCCTGATGCTGCCTGTTTCTGCGTGTGCCCTCTGAGCCTCAGTGTTCCTCATCTCTAAAATGGGGATGATATCATCTCTCAGTGGCCCTTAGTATGTGTTCCATATGTGGTTGCTCTAATTACTGATCAGTTGCCTGGGTCCAATGTGATTCAGAGCATAGAACTGCTACCTGGATGATCTTAGTAATTTGTGCAGAGAAACAGCATTTGGATTTCCTAGGGTAGTTTTGTTTTGTACAATTTTTGTTTTACAATGTGTGGATATAAGTGGCTGTCTTGGAGATCGTTGGGCATTGCTGGGCACTGGGGCCTCAAGCCACCGAACTCTAGGTCTGTGTCTGGGACCCAAGCCCAGCGATGCCAAGTCCTCCTGTGGCATCCTCTCCTCCAGCCTCGGCCACCTCCCACTGGGCGACTCCACCCTGGCTGTGCTCACTCAACGACTAAGCCACATGGCCTTCCTGCAGAGCCTCCGGTGAGTGGCCAAGTGACCCCCTGGGCTAGAGTGGGAGGATGTACTTCCCCAAGGGAAGCACTGGAGGGCACCTCCCTGAGAACCCTCGGGGCTCCTGTCCTTGGGACAGTCCTGTACCCTCCCAGGTCTATGCCCCAGGTCTTGCCTTTTACTGCCCCCAGCCTCCTCCTGGCTACTGAAGGGGCTGGGCCCAAGTCCAAGAACAGCCCTTAGTGTGCTCAAATTCATCGTCTGTTCTTGTGCACATTTCTGACTTGCAGATCTGGGTTGCCTGGATTCTGCATTTCAAGCCCCCAGATGGTGCCCGTTCTGGGGACCTACCTCAGAACACACTCTGAGTCATGAGGGTCTAGACTCAGAGCTGATGACCTTGGTATTCTGCCTCTGTGCCCTTGGCCACTTTGATAAACAAACAGTGCATGTTCTTTTCATGGGATTTTTCAAAATATGAAACATTGTGACTCCAAACAAACCCAAGCCATGACACAAAGCATTGTTTTGCTTTTATCCAAGTCTCTGCCCCTACTCTGGTGGAGTAGAGCGCGTGGGAAGCGAGCACAGAGAGTTGGGAGGACCAGGTCATTTCACCCCAAGTTAATATACCTAAAGGCAGTTTCCTAAAAATTAATTTGAGAAACAAAAACAGAACAAACAACCCTCAGACAAACACTCATTGTGAAGCCAGGACGGCGTACATCACCTGTTTGGTTTCTTTTGGTTTTTCCCCCACTCACAGAGGCAGGGCATGGTCCAGTGCAGAAAAGACAGTAAATAAACTGGGTTTAAGGAAAAGCCCACCATTCGCATACTTTAGAACAAGATATGCCCTGAAGAAACGAATTGCCTGAGTTGTGAGACCCAAGAGAAACTGGCATTCAGCCGGGCTGACCTGGAGGTGCCTGACACAGGGGCTGAGGCAAAGCCTGGCCAAACCAAAAATGCGTGGCCACTGCTCCAGGCCAGCAGCCATGGGCTTTCACGTCCGTCTTGTCTGTGAGTCCCTGGGAGTCTTTGGCCCATCACAGCTCCTCCCTGGGGCTTAGTTTTCTCATGTGGACATTAGGTAGTCTCCTCATCTCGCCTGTCCCCCTCCCCTGAAACTTTTGTGACTGGCATAGGAGTTCTTGGATGTGTAAAGGCTTTGCAAACTGTAGAGTTCTGAGCACAGCACCAGCAAAGGCCTTTACTCCTAACTAAGGCTCCTTGACCCTACTTCTCCAGGCTAAGCCAGAGCAGCATCAGCGACGTCGGCTGCTGCCACCTTTTCAAGGCCCTCAGAGCTACCACCAGGTTGGAGGAGCTGGGGTGAGTTTCCTGGCCCTCCCCAAGACCCAAGACAACTTTGGCAGGGGAAGATGACAAAAGCAAGGGGCTCCTTGAGGACACTCTTTACTTCTTAATCTCATCACTTTCCCCCTCTTCTACACTGCACAACCCCAGACCCAGAACCTGGGGACCCAAAGATAGGATGTGAGAGTGTTGATTGCAGCAAGAGGGATTTAGGTCAGACACCAGGGAGAACACCCTGCACAGAAGACAAGAGTTTGGCGTCCTCAGCCAGCAGAGGGTGAGGGGACTTGATCAGTGTGGGGAGGCCTTTCTCTAGACTTCACCCTCCCCTTCTGGGATGAGGACACAGACAAGAGTTGGACGGTAGCTGATGGTTCCACTTCTCCTGCTGTTCTCTCCCCAAGCTTGAGCCACAACCAGATTGGAGACGCCGGTGCCCAGCAGTTAGCTGCCCTCCTGCCGGGGCTGCCTGAGCTCAGGAAGATAGAGTAAGTGGCCAGCCCTCCTGACAGGGGCCCTCAGTGGAGCGGCCACGCCATGGTCCGGGGAGAGACCAGCTTCTGGCTCAGGCTGGCTTTCCTCCCCTCACCTCAGTGTCCAGGCAGTGGGACTGGTGACCTCCTGGCACTGCTGATTTGGTGACTTGGAGCCAGCTCAGCCCCTCTCGGGGTCTCTCTGCCCCATCAGGCTGGGATGGTATGTGGCAGGGGTGCTGTCTCTTCGGGCCCAGCAGATGTGGTGGGGTGTGGGGAGCAGGGAGTCCAAGGATCTGATGTCTGCCCCTCCTCAGCCTCTCAGCAAATGGCATCGGCCTGGCAGGGGGAGCGCGGTTGGTGGAGTCTCTCGCCCTTTGCAGGCACCTGGAGGATCTGATGTGAGTGTCTGCCTGGGTGGGCCGCCCTCTGCCCTCTGTGTTCACCTGGCCCAGCGGTCATAGGGCAGGGCAGAGGTCCAGACTGGACCAGCCTAGTGCTCAACCTTATCCCCTCTGCTCTTCCAGGCTTGGCTGCAATGACCTGGGAGATCCCACAGCCCTGGGGCTGGCCCAGGGGCTGCCCCGGCACCTGAGGGTCCTGCAGTGAGTGGCCCCTCTGCCTGTGGTGTGTGCGTAGGGTAGCGGGTACGGGTCCCAGCAGCACGTACGGGGTCAACGCCCATCAGTCGTGGGTTCGCCTGTTGCGGGAAGGGGTTCCCCCAGCAGCACTAGGGGGTCAAAGCCCCCATCAGCTGGGTTGCCCTGTTCTAGGGGAAATGACATGCAGTGGGGCTGGCTGCCCCCCTCCTGCCTGGTCCTCTCCAGCCTTTGGAGTCTGGGGCAAGGAGATCACGAGACCCAGCCTAGTCCTGGCTCTGCCATCAGCCCCTGTGTGCCCTTGGCCAAGCCCATGTCCCTTCTGAGTCTGTTTCCTCATCTTTAAAAGCAGTACAACAATCCCAGCTCAGCATGCCCTGTTAGCCAGTCTCAAAGGGTAAATGAGGAAGCGTTGGCAAAGGGCTACGCTATGCAGGAGAAAGTGCCATGCAGCATGACCTCAGCACTTTACAGTTTATGTCCATGGTCTCAGTGGAGCCTCACAGGATCCCCATGGGGCCGGAATTTCTATTTGCTCCATTTTCTAGGCAAGGGAACTAAAGCCAAAAGAGGTGTGGAAATCTTACCCTACCAATACATGAAAGAGCCAGGCCTTGAACTTGGGATCTCAGACCCCAAAGCCAAGGCCCTAGAGACCCACCCAGGTCCTGGGTAGGTAGGGAGAGGGGTTGGGTTGGCAGTTACCCAGAGACTAAAGTCTGGCCGTGCAGCCTGAGACAATGCTGAGGGTGGGAGGATCCAGCCCCTCAATCCCTATACCTGGTCCCCAGGCTCTCCTCACCCCCTTCCCTTTCCCCAGCCTGCGGTCCAGCCATCTGGGCCCAGAGGGGGTGCTCAGCTTGGGCCAGGCCCTGGATGGATGCCCACATGTGGAAGAGATCAGGTGAGTAGGGGCCATGGAGCCTGGGCAGGGGAACAGGCCGGGGGGCCTGGGGATTCCTCTCACAGGTGTCTCCCCTGACCTGCAGCTTGGCAGAGAACAACTTGGCCCGAGGGGTCCCACATTTCTGTCAAGGGCTCCCACTGCTCCGGAAGATAGAGTACGTAGCCTCCTCTGTCTACCTGGGGAGCTGGGGGGCGGTGGGGGCAGCCCTTCCTTCTCTGGCTGAGCCTGACACCTGGGAAGGCTTTTGAAGTGACAGAAGCCTCAGGTATAGGGGAAGGTTGGGACCAAAAAAAGGGCACATTCCTAAGACTCCCATCCTGTCCCAGACCCTGGCCACTCTGCTCCTCCTGCTCTGATTGCAGGGTGGGAAGAGGGGGACAGGCAGGAGGTGCCCCTGACTCAGACATTTCCATCCCCTCCCCTTCTCTGTTTCCAGCCTGGTGTCGTGTGAGATTGACAACCAGACTGCCAAGCCTCTCGCCACCAGCTTCATGCTCTGCCCGGCCCTGGAAGAAATCCTGTGAGTGTGTGGGAGAGCCCTGAGCTGGGAAAAGCAGGCCTCAGGGGGGGTCTGGTCCCTTCCTCCCTGAGGGTCTTCCTATCTGTATATGAGGAAGGTCATTCTTGCTCAAACCTCCTCTCAAGGCAGTTTTAACACTTGTTCCACCAGTATTGTTGGTCCAAGCCATTCAGACTCTCCTGTTACCCTGCCATTGGAGTGGCGGGAGGCGGGGTGGACCAGATGGTCTCTAAAGTCTCTTTGCCCCAACCTTCTGTTTGGGAGGCGTCTGGATAGACCACCTGGTCTGGTTTATGGAGCCTATGATTTACGAACCACCTGTTGGTAGTGAAGAGTAGCTAAAACCAGCAGCCTCCCACCTCCTGCTGGCCTACTGGCCATCCCCACCTCCCTCTTGGGCAGCGCAGACACTGAGACCTCGGGGCTTGGCAGCGCTGCCTCAGGGATAAACTAGACTGCCAGGACCAGCCTGGAGCCCTGACCGAGGTGGAAGAGAAGGCTACTTCATAAGGTACAGGACACTAGTGATTACAAGATTTCAGGTTTGCATCCTAAAGATTTTAATTCTTCTCATTACTTTACACCAAAGAGGAAGTCTCAGATCAGTGCTAACTCACCTGAACACCTAACACTGGTGAGTGTCCCTTTGTAGCCAACAGCGGGACGACCAGCACCTTGGGAAGGACACAGGTTTCAGCCAGAAGTTAATATCGTTGTTTGCACTGTATTTATCCTTGTAACTACCTTCTATTTAGGGTCCTCAACACAGGTTTCCCATTGATAGTAGTGATAAATGTTTTCCTAAGATTAGTTTCTCAAAGTGAAAAAAAAAAGGAAGGGAGGGAGGGAGGGCTGATTTAAAGAAACACATGAAACAAATAATAATACAGGCGGTGCATGGATGTGGCAAAGTCACGGTGGAGGCACGCACCTGGTGGAAGTTTGGATCATGGCCGTGTTTCCGCAGCCCATGTGTTCTAAACTCTCAGGACAGCCAGCTCCTAAACTGTCTGGGTTCTTGAGGGATGGCCAGAAGGGAATGGGGTTGAGGGGTAGGAAGGAGCCACCTGTGCCTTGAAAAGTCTTCAGGGAGAGCACTTGAGCACCCCATCAGGCGCCTCTCTTGTACCTGCATGGTACCCCCACCCCCACAACCCGATGGCCCTCAGTTCTCCTCACCTGCCGCCTTGTACCCCCATCGACCTCATTGCTTTCTGCCACTGACCTTGGGGCCCCTACCCTGCAGGCTGTCCTGGAATCTGCTTGGGGACGAGGCAGCTGCTGAGCTGGCCCGGGTCCTGCCACGGATGGACCGGCTGAAGAGAGTGGAGTAAGAGGGGCACATCCTGGGAAGCTAGAAGGGGTGGAGAGGGCTGAAGGGGGACCTGTGTCCTGGGAAAAGCCAAGAGGCTATTAGGTCAGGCCTCTGCCTCCCAGGAAGCCCTCCTGGACTTGCACACTCCAGTCCACCCCAAGCCCCTGGGTCCCGGCCTTTAACCTTCCTGCTACACTGTTTGTTGAGTTCTCTAAGCAGATGTGTGGGAAGCCTGTGTCCCCTGGCCAGGGGAAGGGACATAGGGAAGCCCCCTCCACCATCTCTCCCCATCTCATGCCAGTTTCTTTCTTGTTCCTCTGCTGTCCATCGGGAAGCCTGGAGAAGAATCGGATCACAACTCGTGGAGCCTGGCTCCTGGCTGAAGGGCTGGCGCAGGGGTCTGGCATCCAAGTCATTCGGTAACAGGGCCTGCAGGGACTGGGTTGGTGGGAGCAGGGGCCACTTCAACATCTCTAATGTAAGGGGATTTCCTGTAGAAAGAGGCAGGACCTGGGTTGGGGATTATTAAAGGAGTCTTGGACCACTCCACCAGGAATTTGGCAGCAAGCAGACCTGGATCAAATCCCATGCCTGCCAGTTGCCAGTTGTGTAACTTTGCTTCAGTAACTCAACCTCTCTGAACCTCAGTTTCCTGAACTGTAAAATGGAGATAGTGATAGTGTCTACCTCAGAGAGGTGCTCTGCAGAATAAATGATTATATAAAGCACTGATCACAATGCTTAGCACATAGTAAGCACTTAAAATGGTAGCTATAACCAGAGCCACTACATACAATTGCATGGGCTGTGCACTGCACCAGGGCAGTGCATCTAAGGGACATCATTCACATAGTAGACATGTTAGATTTCTAGTAGTAGTGAAGTGTCTTGCTCTATAAAACTCAATATGTTAGGACAATTTCAGACATATAAGTCAAGTGTCTTAAGGAGAGTTTTTTTCCTTATTTGCACAGTGTGTCATGTGAGCATGGCCCTGGCTGGGATCACTAGCTCCTGGGGAAGAAGATTGAGTGGAAGAAGTTGGGGTGGGTGTGGGGGGATACCCTCTCCCTAAGGTAGTCATGCTTGCCAGGTAACTCTGGGAACAGCTCTTTCCCTTTGGGGCCTCAGTTTCCTCATCTGTAGGTAGGACTGACGGCAGAGACGAGAGGGTAAGTGAACAGCTCCCAATGCTAAGGGTCTATCTCTGTGTCCCTGCAGCCTCTGGAATAACCCTATCCCCGCCAACATGGCCGAGCGTCTGCAGAGCCAGGAGCCCAGGCTGGACTTTGCTTTCTTCGACAACCAGCCACAGGTCCCTTGGAATACCTGATGGCCTTCTCATGACCTTTTGAATCCAACCAAGTGATGACAACTTCCAGCCACAAGGATAGAGCGCTCAGGAGAAGAGGCACATTTGTCCTGCTATAGTCTTCATGGAGGACTTTTGGGGACAAAGAGCCTTGTATGTCCAGTAGACCACCCTACATCACACGTGACACGCATGGCCAGTTGGGGACATGTAGCACTATAAGGATGTCTTGGTGTGATGCATGACACAGGTCACATGCAGCAGTTCCATGTGACATTGCACAAAACTTGCAGTGTTGCCTGTGGATTAGGGCACAGGTCCTAGCACTATATGTAATTGTTCCATATATACATGACATATGTCCCATGGCCAGCCAGATGCCTTCAGGCTGGTCTAAGATCTAATTTATTACTTTTTTAAGTCATGTATATATTTATAAATTTCATTTCCAGAGCAGCTAAGCAAGAGAATGTCTTCCGCCCAGAACTGGGATGGGGAGATTGTACAAGCACTGACCAGCCCAGTGGCCCAAGGGTCAGGGCCCTGGGCCAAGTTGAGGATTTAGCCACAAGGCTTCCAGCCTCAAGTCTCAGTTTTTCCATCTGTGAACTGGATGACACCCCCTCCCTTCAATGCTAGCTTCCAAGGACTTTGGGCCCAGGTTCAAGTAAAGCCAGCCTGACCTTGAGAAAGAACAGCCCCAGTCTGTCCTGTGTAACAGATGAAGCAGGTCTAAGGGTGCAGGGGTGGGGACTGCCAAGATAGCCAGGCAAGGCCACTGGATCCAGCCACTACCTCAGCAGAACCTGAGTGAGCTCCCAGGAGCTGCTTGTGTTACACAGTGTTCTCTTACTTCCAAGAGGGCCCAAGGATGGCCCTGTACAAATCCGACCAATAAATGAAGATGATCTTCCAGTCTCTCACCTGAGTCTGATGTGCCCCACCACCTCACCAAGGTCAGAAGTGATTCACTCCCGCCCCCAGGGACTGGAGAGCAGGGCAGACCACAGAGAGAGATGCGGAGAGGAGCACTGGCCCGGGAGTCAGGAGCCATGAGGTCAAGCCCAGACTCTGTCTCCGTATATATCATGTGATCGTAGGCAAGTCACCTCCTCTCCAGAACCCACTTGCACCATGAGGGTATTATAGAAGCTGTAGTGTTATAAACAGTCTTTGTTTGATTCGAATTATATTTACACTTCTTTCTGATTTAATTGTCAATATTTAAAATTGGGACTTTATACTCCAAAGTTCAGGTTTTCAGCTTCTCTTAGGTGCTGGTCCAGCATTCCTACTCAAGAATAATGTGCTGGGGATGTATGACTATGCCCTTTAGACGTGCAAAGAGGCACATATCCCTCAGTCCCCACTACTTCCCAGTGTGTCCCCCCTCCCTTGTGCTGCTTGCCTGGTCCTTGGTTTCCACAAGCAGGTGATGCATTAGGGACCCAGCTTTGAAAGTCAGATGGGCATGGAATGGAATGTGACTTGACCCCTTGCTGCCTGTCTTTGAGGCCAGGTACTGTTTCTGTATGTTCCTGTAGTAACACCCCGTGGCCCCCAGGACTTTTGGAGGAGTCAGGGAAGCAAGATATGCTAAGTCCACAGTATGAAGAAATAGGTACTGGCTACAGGCTTGTTGACGTCCCCATTTAGGGTTGACTGTCATATGAAGTAGAGAGGTGCTTGAAATGGCAGGAAAACAGCACCCCCTCTCCGTCACCTGCCTGTGGGTTGACCAAGTTGCTATCCAGGGAGCCTTCCTCCAGAGCTGCACCCCATTGTGGAAAATGGAGCAGGGAATGTGCAGTTACCGCTGAGTACCACTGGAGGGCAGGCTGGCCCACTGGCGAGTCCTGAGACAACTTCCTTCACGACTATACTCAGAAAGAAGTTAGGAGGGGATGCTAGAGGCTGTTCCCACTTGGCTTGGGAAGCAAAGATGTCCTGGCCTGCTTGTGGCTCCCTTGGACGTCTTGGCCCTGACCTTTGCCGACCTCTGTGTTGTCCTCAGCCCCCTACTAAGCATAAGGAGAAAGTCCTCCAGTCCAGTGCCAAGCACTTACACCCCACACAGGGACATTCTTATCAGGCCAGCATCAGGGCACACCTGGCTTCAAGTAGGGCCATCAGCCTGGTCATGGGGGAGGGGATGAGCAGGCAGAGGATCCAAGTTTCCCTGGAAAGCTTGAGCCCCAAATTCTGTCCTCCCTCCCGGGAAATGATGCCAAGGGCATCACGATGCACCTCCATGCCAGGGGGAGGGGAGGGGTGCTGGTCTGTACTGCCTCCTCCCCTTGCCTAGGACTGGAGTAGGAATCCCTCAAGGCCTGAGGAGCCCCTGACTGGGGAGGTCACAGCTGAGGAAGGAACAGAGCACCAACTAGAAGCCCCAGGCCAGGTGAACCGCACGCCAGGCAGAGTCCAGAGCTCGGAGATACTCTCCACTTGCTGCTATTTGTTTTGCTTTTCCCTTCTTTCCCCTTCAGCTCTGCCCAAGTTCTAAACTCCAACCATTGTGCTGCAGCGGCCCTGAAATAAACCACAGCATGGTCAGCACGGGGCCCACGTCAGGTGTAGTCACTTTGCTCATTTTATTAAGATGAGCCACCCGTTTGTTTGGAGGCCTGGACCATTTTTCCCTCCCACACTGCTGAGGTCCAGTCTCCCTGCCACTTTCCTCCCAAACGTAACCTCAGTTTAAACAGATCCATGAAAACAAAATTCAAAGCAAAGTGAGGCTCTGGGCCAGTACGCAGCATGATCAGAATGAGTCTTCTCACGCAGAGTGTGATCTGGCTGGTAAGTTCCTATGTCTATTTGCAAGGCTGGGGTCACCTCGTTTTGCTACTTTATCTCTTTGCCTCCATCCTATGGTTTTACAGATTGAATATCTGCCTTTTTGTTTTCCTTTTTCCTCTCTTTTTTTTAATTGAGGCACAGTCAGTTTACAATGCTGTGTCAATTTCTGGTGTACAGCACAATGCCCTAGCCATACATGAACATACATATATTTATTTTCACATTCTTTTTCACCATATGCTTCTACAAGATATAGAATATATTTCCCTGTGCTATATTGTTTATCTATTTCATATATACCAATCAGTATCTACAAATCTTGAACTCTCGGTTTACCCCTTCCCATCCTCCTCTCCTCCGGCAACCGCAAGTCTGTAGGATACCTGCCTTTCTGATGGGAGTCACATAAACTTTCCCGTCCCCTCAGGTCTCAAATCCTCCGAAACTGCATCCTCCGTCCTTCCCCAAAAACACACAGAGGTCTAAAATCCACTCTCTGGGCCAGTACCTCTCGAACTATAAAAATCATAGTTACAAAAACTGTAATGTGCATTGAATTATCTGAGGATCTTGTTAACATGCAAATTCTGATTCAGCAGATCTGGGGTGGGGCCTGGGGTTCTGCATTTCTAAAAAGACTCCAAGCGATGTCAATGCCGCTGGACCACACTTAGCTTAGTGAAACTGCAGACTGGTGAGTGGATCTCAACACTGACTGCACATTAGAATCACCTGGGCAGCTTTTTAAATGCCTGTTTAAAAATAGAGTGGTGTTACTTAGAAAGCTCCCCAGGTGATTCTGCTGTGCAGCCACTGTCGGAGACCTGCTGGTCTGGCGCATGCTGCCCCTCGGAGAGGCGAGGCAAGCCTTTACACGTACACCCCTGAATACCCCTGACTTAGTCCTGGTAGATCCTGGTGACCCTCCCTTCCCAGACGAGGACACCGAGACTCCGAGATTTTTCCTAACTTACCCAAAGGCACAAAGCTAGTAAGTGGTAGCACCAGGAATCAAACTGGGTCTTCGCTACTTTTTTCCCCTCATTTTTTCTTACAAGTGTTCTTGAGATATAATTGACATACAGCACTGTATGAGTGTCAGGTGTACAGCATAAGCATTTGACTTAAGAGTGTGAAATGATTACCACAGTAAGTTTAGTATCTATATCTTCTGTAGATACAAATAAAAGAAAAAATATTTTTTCATTGAGAACTCTTAGGATCTCTTTCAACTTTCAAGTTTTGCGACTCTTAATCCCACAGGTGCTGCCCCAGTTTCCTCATCTGTATAGTGAGAGCAGGAGCAAAATGAGACAAGGCGCCAGGACCTACTTTCCTCAGGCTGCACAGATAACCTTATGGTTAATCTCTGTAGTCCCTCAGGGAGGGTTCTGAATCCTCTGTCCCCTGCCCTGCCTGGTTATAGTTCTGTAGGGCTTCACCTTCCATGACCTCCTCCAGACCCAGAGCCACAATCTCAGTAACAATCTCCTCCGTTTTATAAATGAGGCCCAGAGAGGAACAAGACTTGCCTAAGGTCACATAGGCCAGTCTTTAGTGGAGCTCAGATTCCAACCCTGGAGCAGGAAGGGAAGGAGTCTCTGTGTTCCTCAGAGAGAAAGGTCCCCAGGAAGGAGGGAGGGCCACAAGACCTTCCATGCCCTGTTTCTGACCCCTAGCCCCACCCTTGCATGGCCAAGGGTGGTGGCCCCAGCCAGAGCAGGATATGACCTCTGGACACATCAGGAGCTTCCTGGAAGAGATCTTGCAGTGGCTAATTTACTAAAGATCCTCCCAGGACTGGGCTGGGGGACAGCTGGTTTTCCTCCCACCCCACCCCACCCAGCCATCCCAGTGAAGGACTTTACCCCCACCTAGAGCGTCTTAAAGACCCCAGAGCTGGAGTCCTTCCTCCACCTGGGCCCTTGGAAGCCACATCTTGTTCCTCATCCCACACAAGCCCCAGCCCCACCCTGGCTGCCCAGAAATCCACCTTTGCCCTGAGGAGGAGGTGACAGAAGAGGAACTTCCACTATAGAACAAAGGCCAACTGGGGTCCCTGGGTTGAGTTCCCTAGACGAGAAGCATCAGCCTCCTGAGCTGGGCCCATAGTCACCACCCCTGCACACACGCGCATACTCCAGCTGGGGCTGATGGAAATGTCTGGGGCTGACGGGAGGGCCTGGGGAGGGCGGGCTGGGCATCCTGATCCTAGAAAGGGATATCCCTGCATTAGAGCGACCACAACCCTGGATCTTAGCAATAACAAGAGGCTATCCCGGGTGTCTAGGCATGCCTGGTACTGTGCAAGGTACATTGGGGTCTCACTGAACTCCCACAGTCATCCCATGAAACAAATACTAAATCCATCCTTCCATTGTACAAAGGAGGAAACCGAGGCCCAGAGTGACTGATTGAGTGATCTCACCCAGGCAATATCTGTACTGGCTGGAATTCAAACCTGGGGCCATGACTCTATCTCTGACTTTTCCTCTTTTAAAGCTTTTTTGAGATATAATGCACATAGCCAAGTCTAGGCAGCCACTAATCTACTTTCTTTCTCTATGGCTCTGTCTGGTCTGGACATTTCATACGAATGGAATCACACAACATGTGGCCTTTTGTGACTGGCTTCTTTCACTTAATGTTTTCAAAGTTCCTCCACATTGTGTATATGTCATACCTTTCTATGGCTTTCTCTTGTGCAGAGAGACCACATTTTGTTTATCATTACTCAGTTGATGGACCTTTGGGTGATGGACCTTTTTGGCTATTCTGAAACATGCTGCAATGAACCGTCCTGTACAAGTCTTTGTACAGATGTATGTTTTCATTTCCCTTGGGCAGATACCTAGGAGTGGAATTGCTGTGACACCTGGCCTTTATACTCTGTCTCCTTGGCTGGGGATCCATTATCTTCTTCCCCCTCCACAGGCCCAACTACCTCATCCTTCAGGTCTTCTAGTGGAAGCCTCGCTAATTCTCATGGCTGAACAGGGTCTTCTGGACCACTGTGCCTCCAACCACGTTTTATACAGTAATATAGTTGCCTGGGTCATGGTCTTGACCCTGACAGGTGAACAACTTGAGAGGAGGGACTCTCTACCTGGGTACACCACTGTCCGTCCCAGTGTCTGGCTCACCTGCTCTGGAGCAAGGAGAAGAGAGGGATTCTGGGAGCCAGATCAATCAGGAAAGGCTTCCTGGAGGAAGAGGGGCTGCAACTGCGTCTTAGAGCGCCTCTAGGTTGGATTGCCCCACAGCTAGGCAGAGGGATTTGAGGATTTTAGGTGGAAAAAAGATGAGGAGAGCTTAGAGAAAAGAAGGATGGAGGTGGGGGGAAGCAGGCAGGCAGAGAACAAAGCTCTGGGCCCTGGGGCTGTTTAACGGCTGCCCTCTAAGGCTGCAAAGTGCCTGTGACTCAGATGTGGAGGGAGGTTTGCAGACTGCTGCGTGAATCTCCCAGTTAACCCTCACCTGCCTAGAATGGAAAACCCACAACCCAAGCACTTAACTCCCCGTTGCCCAGTCCGTGAGCACCAGGGCCAAGGGCTATAGACGGTGGACGTGGAATTGAGATCCCTGAGGCAGCTCTGTCCCCAGTATTCTGGCTCCACTAAGGCCCTGGATTGAGGTGGGGAAAGAGGCGGGGGAACCGCACATAAATATTGCGGAGTGGTTGGCAGCACGACGCCCAGCGGCAGACGAATTTGTTAGGAATTGGTTGCCTCTTCTAGGGAAAAGAAGGCCATCGCAGAAAGGGGGACTCAGAGCCAAGGTATTCAGGACCGCCTAGCTGCCCTCCCCCTGACTAACCCCAGGCACTGATCGAACTGTCTTTATCTTATCATCTCTGTCAGAGAAATACGTATGTGTCATCTTCCCAGTCTCCAGCGGCAAGAAAACGCAGAGCTCTTTTACTATTGGGGTTAAAAAAAAAGGGGGGGAAATAAAAAGGAAGGAAACACTGCGGTCCTAGTGCTGCCCAATACGGCACAGAACCAAAGCCGGTGGTGTATCCCCCGAGGGCGCAGGGTTGAGCCCTACAGCCCTTGGGGCCAAGGCCGCAGGCGGCGCCCTAGGGCCTCGCAGGCCGGGCTAAGCCCACCCCTCGGATCCCGCGTCGGCGGCCCTGAGCGCACAGCGCTGGGAACTCGGAGGGGCCCGCGGGTCGGGCGAGGCCGGCCCGGGGAGAGTGCGAAACCGCGGCATTCCGATCCGCGGAGCCCGAGCCTGGAACGTTCGCACCCTCGGCTTCCGGCCTCGAACATTCAGGGCCCCGAGGCGCTGAGAGACCGGAGTCCGAGGCGCGCCAGCCGCGGGCTCGCAGCCGCAGGCGGCGGGCAGGACAGTGCCCCTGCTCCGCCCGCGGGGAACGCTCGCCCCTCCAGGAAGCGCCCGCCTCGCCTCCCCACTTCCCTCCCCACGCCCGCCCCCTCCTCGGCCGAGGGAGGAGCCCGAGCGGCTGCCGACGCCCGCCAGCCCGCCTGGCCCGGGAGGAGGACCCGACCGCGAGCAGCTGGGAGCGCACGCGAGCTGGCCATGGCCGCGCGGGCTGCGCCCTGAGCCCGTCCCGCGCCCGCGGGCCCGGCCGAGCAGGATAGCGCCCAGGGATGCCTCGGTGGCCCGGAGCGCGGGGAACGGCAGCCGCGCGGTGAGGGCGGCGGCGCCCGCGGAACCCACGGTGGAGTGGGGCGCCGGCGGGCAAGGGGCGGGCGGGGCGCCCTGGCTCGAGAACTCGAGTTCGGCCCTGAGGCTCGGCTTCTGGCGCCGGTGGCTGGTTGGAAGGAAGCTGGGCTCCGCCTTAGGGGCTGCGGAGCCTCAAGCCCCAGCCACCCGCGTGTCCCCGGACTCCGGCGTTTGGGTGACTCAGCTTCGACCCGGCCACGCGGGGGCGCTCCGGCTTTGTCCCGACTGAGGGGGAACAGCGGGCAGGGTCCCCGGAGTATGGTAGCGCTCTCCGGGGTCCGAGCCCAGCTGTTTAGGGACCCAGCTACCTCCCCCATGAGCGTGGGGGTGTCAGGAAGGTGGAATCCCGCCACCATCACAGCGGCGGAAGTCTTGAGGTCGGGCTGGCTCTGGGCTGGCTCTGGGCTGACTCCAGGCTGGCTCGGCCCGGCTCCTTGCCCCCTTGCCCAACACCAAACCCTTCGGCGTCCCCCTAGCCCCAGGAAACTGCTAGAGAGCCAGCTCCCGGCCCGGGAATGGGGAGCGAAGAGAGGGAGTGGAGCTGGGCAGCTTCCCAGAAGTCGGTGTTTGCAAACTATTTTTTTTTCCGCAAAAGCTGTCTGGCACCTGTGTGTTTGCGGAGGAGGGGCGGGGAAGGGGGAGCATGGCGAAAGAGAGAGCCAGGCCCTTTCTTCCCGTTCCGCGATCCCCCGCAGTGCTGCTTCTCTGGAAAGAGGATTCTTACTTTCCTCTCCCCATCCCATCCCCCAGCCTTGGACAAGCCCTTTTGGAGAAGGGACTTCTTCAGAGGAGGCTGCGATTTGCCCAAGGAATTGGAACCCAGGGCTCTGGTAGCCAGTTGGAGGTTCGGGTGTCTGTGATTCCCCCAGCCCCGCCATGTACTGGGGAAAGCGACGAGAGCAAAGGATCTGGGAGAATTATCTGAGCGGTCCTTTGTTTGTCTTCCCTTAGTTTTTGCACCTCTAGAGGTGTGGACTGTCAATGAGGGATGGGGGGCTTTTTCTGTTTCTTGGGGCTCCCATAGCTTCAGTAACTGGGGAGAGGAGCCAGGTGGTAACCTTACGCATTGGCAGCTTACAGTGGCCAGCCCTGATGGGGAGCTTTGGGAGACCTGGGTCTGAACACTACCCATCAGTGGGCCTGGGCCCCAGACCCTCCTCCCCTCTGAGCCTCCAGGTCCTCATCTGTAAAATGGGCTAATCGTCCAGAGCCTGTGCATCTGGAGGCTGGGTGCAAACATAAAGGAGTGGTTTTAATGCAGTCCCTCTGGCATGGGGCCCAGTGAGTGCTGGGACTGCCCCAGGCATGTGACATAGCTGGCTGGAGTGGGAGGGGTCACACGGGCAGTTTTCTCCATGGAAAGAACCAGGAGCTAAGAAGGTGGACGCTTGGGTTCTCCGGGCCCTCTGCCACGACCTATTTGCGTGCCTTGTCACTCGTAGGGCTTGGGCGCTTTTCTGTCTGTAAAGTAAAGCAAAATATGACACAGTCCAGTTTACAGGTCTGCTGGGAGGCTAGAACTGGGCAGGGCAGAGGTGTTCTGCAAAGTTGAGTGCACTGGTGGTGTTTCAAGGGAGTTCCCTTCCAGAGGCCACGAGAATTAAAAACTCAGGGACATAAGAAGGTCGGGGAGAGAGTCTCAGTTTCTGTCCCTGTAAAGTCGTGAGAACAATACTCGGTACACATTTATAGTCTTTTATTGTAATTGTGTATTTCTTTAAAGATAGTTGTGAGGATGAAATTAGATGACAAAGGGCTGGTGGACCAGCGCTGTGACTGACTTTCATGTGATAAGTTCTCAGTTAACCATCCTTATCATTATTCATGGGAATATTAGTAAGGCTGATGTGGGTTACTGATTTAGGATTCCTTCTGGGATTTATCAGGCCAGCTCACTCCTCTGTCTCCCACCTCCTCCCTGGGGACAGAAGCCTCAGAGTCGAAATGTCGGGCTTCTGGGCAGGGTCCTGAGCAGAAAGGTGCCCCTAGGCTCAAGAGAACACCATGAGGGATGGCAGATCCAGTGGGGTATTCTCGCTTTCCCTGCCTGGAGCTGGCCTCGCATGGCTCTAAGGAGTGATGGAACACAGAAGAGCTTTCTCTCAAGATTCCCTCAGGGGCATGGTCTCCAGGCAAGGTCCCCGCTGAGAAGCCCTCAATCAGGGCCAAATCCTGTCTGCCTGTTGGAGGTCTCCCTCACCCTCCCCTCTTCTGACCCTTCCAGGGGCTGCTAAGTCAGGGCCAGTCACTTCAAGAATCCAGCCACTCCCACTGGGAGAATATGGCCTCAGAAAGGGGGCAGGATCCCCTTCCCTCCTGCCTGGACCCCGTAGGACACAGGGTGGGCTCCTTGGGAGCTCGGAGGCCGGGTCACCCTCGGATCTTGGCAGGCAGCAACTGAAGAAGGTGATGATTATGTCCCACCCACTGTGGCCAGGAAGCTATGGGGTCCTCTGGATTCATGGCCTCCTGAGGTCCCACGGGGCCTGAGGATTGAGCAGGGGTCCAAGGTGCCTCCTGGCTCCCAACCCAGTGTCCTCTCCGCTGGTTGGGCCGCCTGACCTCCACTGCGTGGTGGAATCAAGAGGACTGTGATGTTCCACGTCCTGGAGTGTTTCTCCGCCAGCCCTGTGCACACCTGCCTCCAGGGCCTGGGATGAAACTGGATGGCAGCTGAGGCCTTGCTATCACGCCACCCTGCTTGATTCTTCTCGGAGCATTAGCCACTCTCTCCAGGCACCTGATCTGTTCATTTGTGTGTCAGCTTGTTATCTGCCCTCCTCCCCAGAGGGTCAGCTCCCCAGATGCACAAGTGCAGCGTCCATCTTGCTCAGGGCTCTGGGTGCTCAGTCAGTGTTGGGAAGATGAATGGCTGAGCCTGCCCCTCCTGTAGCCTCCTGTTAAATGGGTCTGTGACGTTGGGTGATGGAGCCTGGAAGAATCATGAGCTTGCCCTTTAAGGTCTCTGGAGGGATCCCCATCTCACTGTACTGAGTACTAGGGGGCAGCCAGAGGGCAGTGGCCTTGCCAGTAGAGGACGGACAAATGCTGGCTATGGGGGTGGGAAAGGTGTGAGTTGGGGAGAAGGTGGGATTTGTCTGGCGCGGAAGGACTGGGGTCTGGGGGAGGCGGCCATGGTGGCTGCTGACCTGGGTGGGGCGTCACCTGCTGCTGACCCAGGGGACTAGCGTGTGCTGGGGAGAGTCATCCATCCCCCATGTGACCTGGGCCAAGCCTCTTAACCTATGTGACCTCAGTTTCTTCATCTAGAAAATGGGGAACTTTTAACTGGGAGTTGTTCCCAGTGCTTTCTTCATGTGGTTCCTAAAGCAGCTATAAAAGGGCTTGTAAACCCAAGAGGGCTTTGCCCAAATGGTGTGATTCCTCTTCCACCTGTGGCTTTGGGTCCCTGCCTTCCAAGAAGGCTGCCCTCACCATGCAGCCATCTGTTTGTCACTCAGCAAATGTTTATTGAATGGCTTCTCTGCACCAGGGACTGTGCCGAAGCTGGGGGTACAACTGCGGAGTTCCGAATAGAGCTGGGGGGACAGAGTGAGGCAAGCAAATGACAAAGAGACAGGAAAACTTCAGATCGTGCAGAATGCCATAAAAAGAATGAAGCAGGGTAAAGTGATGAGGTGGGGCCGGAGGCTGTTGAGGGTCAGGGAGACCTCTGGAGGAGGAGGTGGTGACATTCAAGCTGAGGTGTTAATCTATGGCATGACATTCATGGCTGTGCCCAGCCTACCTGGTTCCCAGCAGATGCTTCATGGATATTTTTGAATAAATGAAGAAGGGAGGAGTGCCCAGGCAGAGGAAGCAGCACATGCAAAGGCCCTGAGGTGGGAACATGATCAGCGTATTCCAAGAGTCTGTTCTCCCCACTGTCCGGCTCTCTGTCTCCTTCAGTGGCTGCTGTATATTGTCAGGAGCTAGGGACATCTGGCCTGCCTAGGTCCCCTGGCTGTCCCCTCCCCATGACACAGGAGACAGCGTGCTCAGGTCCCAGCAGGAGATGATATCCAACCTCTCCCTACTTTGGGGCCCCGACAATCTCTCAAAGTGAGTCAGAGTCACATCCCTGTGGCCCCCTGGAGGGCTGTGCTGTGCTGGGTAAGACAGTGGACTCTGCCTCATTTCACACTCAGCTTTGCCACCAAATAGCTGAGTGACCTTGGGCAGTATGTTAGTTTCCCAGACCTGCTGGAACGAAGCACCACAAACTGGGTGGCTTAAAACAACAGAAATGCAGTCTCTCACAGTTCTGGAGGCTAGAAGTCCAAATTCAAGGTATCGGCAGGGCCACACTCCCGCGTAAAGGCTCTAGAAGAGGGTGCTTCCTTGCCTCTTCCAGCTTCCGGTAGCTGCAGGCATCCTTTGCCTTGTGACAGCGTCGCTCCAGTCTGCCTCCTCATGGCTGCCTTCCCACTGTGTCTTAACATTGTCCTCCCATAAAGACATCAGTCGTGTGGGAATAAGGGCCCCAATACTCCAGTATGTTCTCATCTTAACTCATATTACATCTGCAACTACCCTCTTTCCAAATAAGATTGCATTCTGAGGTTCTGGGAGGTAAAGATTTCAACATCTCTTCCAGGGAGGCACAGTTCAACCTCTAACAGGCAGATTGTTTCACCTCTTTGTGCCTCAGTTCTCTGATCTGTCAAATGGGATGATAATAATAGGGCCCATCTCCTGGGGTGGCAGGGAGGCTACATGGAAACATGCAAACCTCAGGACAGGGCCAGGCACACAGGAAGCACCCGGTGGATGCTGTTATTTCCATCTCCTCAGTGAAGACTTCTTGGGAGCTGGGACCAGGAGCTGAGGAGCAGACGGCGATGTCCTTGGCCAGAAGGACTTGCTGAGGAGGGCCCACGGCTGGGCTGTGGGCCTCTTGCCTGGATGCAGAGGCTCATAGAAGCCCCTCCCCACTGTCTGGATGAGAAGAGGCGGGTGTGCCTCTTCAGTGTGGTGGGGTGAAAACCACTGACA